TCACTTTGAATGGTCAGTGACCCTTTTTTGTGGCAGTTAATACCATTTTTATACCTTATTTTGAAGAGACCACAATTAGCTTTATTTTGATACCAAAATAAGCCCAATTGGTTGAAAAATAAGTGAAGCAGGATTTTTTCCCCTAAACGGACACAGAAATTGCATTACAGGTACCCTAAATCGCGTGAAAATAAAAATAAAAAAATTAAATTCTCCTGTGCCCAATTTTGGACCAAAAAATCTTAAAAAATTAAATTGAGGTTATCTCATAGGTATCTACACATAATTTTTTTTGGAAGAAAATCTGAGTCGTAAGAGCACATGGCACCAGGTGATTTGGCGTGGAATGACCCCAGGATGACACTCCAAAGGCAAAGTTGTAGAAGTTCAAAGAAAGTAACAGGTAACTAGATGACTGGCGTAGGAGGCAGGGGGACAATTGCCGGGGGGGGGGAGGTGTCTACATTAAGAGAGCCACTTTGTGGGAAATCATTCAAGCCAAAGCTCACCTCTCGCCTGTATCAGAGAGGACAAATCTAGGTTTGCCAGCCACAGTACATGCAACAGAAAGCCACAGCTAATTCTGCCTTGTAACGAATGGGTGTGGATGACACAAATATCTGCAAACTTAAGTTTGCTTCCATGTGTTGTTAGTCAAAAACAATAAGCTTCCTGGGCAGAAGAAGTCTTAGATGGAACCTTGTGAGCCCCTGTTCATAAAAAGCAGCCCAGTCAACAAATGGGAGGCATAACAAGTTTAGGCACTGCCAGCCTTAAATAGCTATGAGGAAGGGGTGACACATCAAGGTCAGGCAGGAGGAAACCAGGAGGGAGATGCAGCACAATCACCTCTTGTATGGGAGTGAAGTTCTGGAGATGCCACATATACACAAAATACAGCCAAGTCAAAGCGCCCCCTTAGAACTGCCCCCCCCGCGCCAGCCATCTTGCCTTCCAGAGCTGGCACACCAAGCAGGTCTGCACACCCCCCCCCCAATAAGGCAGAGAGCTTAAAGGCCCTCTCCACACCTGGAAAACCTGCACAAAAAGCACTTTTAAACTCTCTGCTTTTAAACTCTCCGCCTTTCAACCAGCCGCACTTCAAACACATAAAGCTGAAACTGCACATATTAAACACAAGTAAATTGTGATTGTACTGTAAACAGAGAAACCTCCTGGCAAATACATATATTCACAAGTTAGCAATAGAATTGCCCTAGGATGGCAAATGAATCCACAACTTAGGACAAAGCTAGCTGCCAGCATGGTTTAAAAACAAAATAGTAGGTATGGGAAAGTGATTACTGCCAGAACCGCTGTGTAAAGGGAGGAGAAGTTTAACTCTTTTCTCCCTGACTCTGGCCCTCATGGAAGTCTCACCCTTCCTCCCATCTCCTACTTTTTATTTTTATTTTAGCCACTGGCTGATTCCCAGAGTAACATCTACCTGTGCAGAGTAGAAGGGCTCCCAGTTTCTTCTATAATTCCATGAATGAGAAAAACAGGCTTTCATTAGGCACGTTTTAATTAAAAGGCTTGGACTGACCTGGGGCCCCTTGCTTCACAACAAGGCTCTTGCCATAAGCTGAAGGAACCCTGCGGTTTGGATCCTAAGGGAACTTAAGCTCAGAAAAAGGAAGTTTCCAGGCCCAGCTCCCTGCCCTGGTAGCCGACTTCTCCCCACGCCAAAACCGCTCTGGAGGGTTGGACACAGTCCTTCCATAGACTTTAACTTACATTAGAATGCAAGTCCTATTGGGGCGTCTCCCCCTGCAGCCCCCCCCACCCTATATTGTTCAGAATGATATAGGAAAGGGGCAAAGGGAAGGAAGAGGAAATTTCTCTTCTGTGAATTTCCATAAGTTAACTGCTCTCAGGATCCAAGCCTGTTTTTCTTCCTCAACTAACCTAAAACGGAACAGTCCTTTCCAAAATGGTTTAGAAACTTCCTACTTCAAAGCACAAGATCTGAGCTTGTTTCCCTGGCATCTTTAGCAGGATTTACTCTCATTTTTAGTTCTACTCCAGCAAGTATGAGGGCTAGGAACCTACTTCAATATAGAACATACAAAAAGCAAGTAAACACTCCATGATACACAAGAATTTAGGAGCACTCTCTCAACTCCTAGCTGAACACGGGACAATGACTGGCTGCTTGCATTCCACAGGTGGTGTGCTACCCAGTTACACTCACAATGGCAATGAGGAGCCACCGGCTCTTTTCCTAGTTAAGCACTGAAAAAAGTAGGATTCACCGCACAATCTGATACACATCCACTCAGACACAAGCACCAGTGAACCCAATGGCACTTATTCTTGGTATGTAAGATTGCAGTCAGAGTTTCAACATCTGCTTCTCAAGTGAGACACAAAACAGCAGCAATATTAAATAATGCCAGCATTATGGTTGAGCGACAAAGAAAAGTTCCAAATCTAGTGGAATGATGAAGTGTCCACCTCTGTGGCCTCTGGGTCTACCTTCAGTAATGAGAACTGATACCAAGAGAAATATTTGATCTAGTGTTTTTGCTTTTTCTGGTGCTGAAGCAGAGCAATAAAGTCTGTCCATTTCCAGCATTTGCCAGCCAGATGCTCCTAGCAGCTGACAAGTAGGGCATAAAGGAAAGCAGCTCTCCTCTGTTGTCTCCAGTAACTGGTAAACACGGGCCCTATACTGGGAATTTTCTAGTTTTCGCTGTCATAAAAAGTAGGCACAGAGAGGCTTAATCTTCTAGCTCATTGCCCACACATTAAAGTACTGCACCAAGGAACAGCAAAAGCAAAGCATCTTGGAAGTTGACTATTCCAAGTTGGAGGTATTAGCAACCTCATTACAAAGCATGAAGGGAGTTAATTCAGGGTAAGTAACATGTTGTCTTTATAGAATGCCACTTCAAAGCCAATACAGGCCTACAATTTCCATTAGATCCATGGGTTCTTGGGGGGAAATGGAACATAATGTTTGCTGACTGACTGGGCAGGGGTTCATGTCCCCTTAGCCACCTGAATCCACAGCAATCTTTTCCAGCCATGTAAGTCCGGGGTTGAAGGCTTGCATTCCGTCTCTGTGAATGCACTCAGGATCTAGCTAAACTTAGGACCCACCAAAAGCCAAATTTGGGCTGAATCCTGCAAGTGAAGGTAACTCCTCACAGCTGTTCTGACAGGACTTTAAATGTGCATAGGCTGATGTTTTATGAAGCTGCCCTGGGTGAGACGCCTGTTCACAGGTCTTCTTTCGAAGACAGAGGTCCTTTGGCTGGCCAACTCCCATCCCTTGCAGGGGCGCAACTAGTGCCAGCGCCTTCCGTCAAGTGTTTGGGTGTAATATTCAACTCCTTTTCTATGGAGGCGCAGATTGCAGCTACAACAAAGGCAGCATTTTTTCATCTCTGCCAAGCTAAGCAGTTGGTCCCTTACCTCTCTCGCCCTGACCTCGCCACTGTGATCCATGCGACGGTCACCTCCAGGTTTAATTACTGTAACTCACTCTATGTGGGGCTGCCCTTGAAACTGATACAGAAACTCCAGCGGGTGCAGAATACCGCGGCAAGACTCCTTACAGGGTCTTTGCTGCGGGATCACATTCACCCAGTGCTATACCAGCTGCACTGGCTCCCAGTAGAGTACAGGATCAGATTAAAGGTGCTGGTTTTAACCTTTAAAGCCCTATACGGCATAGGACCCTTGTACCTACGGGACCGCCTCTTCTTGTATGCCCCATGGAGGACCTTACAGTCTGCAAATAACAACACCTTGAAGATCCTGGGCCCCAGGGAAATTAAGACTGGCCTTGACTAGAGCCAGGGCCTTTTCGGCTGTGGCCCCGGCCTGGTGAAATGCTCTCCCACAAGAGACCAGGGCCCTGCAGGATTTGACATCTTTCCACAGGGCCTGCAGGATGGAGCTGTTCTGCAAGGCCTTTGGGCAGGATGTGGTTTGACTTACTTTCGTTTGTATAAAACAAGCCCGAAGGAGGTCTCCAACCCGCTCAAAGGTCCTTGTATGATCAGTGGAAACAGTTGGTCCTGGCAATTATTAACCACTCTTAATTGCCCGGATTTTAACTTGTCTGAATTAATTTTAAGATGTATTTTAATTAATTGTTGTCTGTGTTTATGCTTATTGTGTTGTTTTTATGATGTTAGCCACTCTGAGCCCAGCCTCTGCTGGAAATGGCAGGATATCTATCTATCTATCTATCATCTATCTATCTATCATCTATCTATCTATCTATCTATCTATCTATCTATCTATCTATCTATCTATCTATCATCTATCCAACTATCTATCTATCTAATTTATTATTTATTTATTATTATTATTATTATTATTATTATTATTATTATTATTATTATTATTATTATTCCGGTGTGCATTACTTAGCATGGCAGTACAGGAATTGTGCCAGAATTGGGATGCAAAATCAAGGTCCAAATAAGAGACTCTCCAAGGTTAGCCAGGGAACAATTCACATAAATCACCACAATGAAGCAACATGCAACTCCCCAGACTGGCCTGCCTCCATTGATGTTATGCTTATCCCTGTGAGTTGTTATGAGGAGTCTGCTTTTAAATAATTTAATTAATAAATAGCTTCGTGGAGTTAGTGGGTGAAAACACAGGGAACTGGGGCTTTTGAAAACAAAACAAAACAAAACAAAACAAAACAAAACCCTCTATGACAAATGCATGTTTGGTATGGCACAGAACAATTAACACAGATTCTGAGGGAGCAGGGATGGGAGAATCTTTATTCAGCCAAATGGGGGAAGAGGTGACAGGGAGCCACTAGAAAGGAATTATTGGCTGCCAAAATCTATTATACAATCTCCCTGGCAAGATTGTACCAGGAACATGAATGACGCATACATGGGTTCCAGCAAGCCCTTATCAGCCTCCCAGTGTCAAGACAGGCTTGCTCTGCGCTAGCGGTAGTGTGACGGCCAGAGCTCAGAAGGCATGCTTGGGCAGGACTGTCACACGCTCCTGTTCCCCACCTCCAATGCCATCCAGCGATTCCAGCCTGCTCAGGTGAGCCAGACTTCTTCCAAGAGCCTCTTCCAGTTGCCCACGGATGGCCTGGACCCGGTCCAGCTCCACCTGCAGTGTCTGTTCATGCTGAGAGCTGGCAAGGCTATGCAGAAAGGGAAGCAGATTAGGAGCAGTTTAGGAGTTGTTCTGCCAAGGTCTACCACCCTCTCTCTGCTCACCACTTACTCTCATTCCTTCAAAAGCACCAACCACCTCACTCCCTGCAGCTGCCTTTCAGCAACGCTCTCGCCAACAGAGAGAAAACAGGGGAAAGCTGTGGGTGCTGCAAGGTGGGTGCTCCCTTCTGACAAGCTGGGTATACAAACAGTTCTTCCAAATAACACCTTGAGGGTTTATGATTTACTAAACTAGCCTATAATCTTTGTAGATATGTCAAGCAAACAGCAAGAGTTGTGGGAAAGCAAGAGAACATAAGCGAAAGAGTTTCTAGTGGCAGCTACACAGAAAAATCCAGCCTCTACCCATCAAATGCCTCAGGACTGGAGGCAGGGGAACAGAGCATCTCCTCACCTGTCAGGATGCGCTTGAAACTTCACCCAAGTGCTGTAGAGCTGCTTTTCGGCTTTCAGGGTTTCATTCAGCTGGTTCTTCTCTGCTGCCAGCCCCTCCAACACCTGCAGCAGCTGAAAGCGCAAACATTTGCCTTCACTTTGTGCTTACGTGAGCGTTTTAATGCTATTTAACAGTCAAGCAAAAACAACCTTATGCCAGATTGTGACCTGAGCTGCATTTATGCCGCTTGCTTCTCTTATTTCCTGAGGAAGATCTTGACCGAAGGCAGATGCAGGTGGACCACTCCACATACTTCAACCAAGCCTGCTTTTAATGGTGCTGATATCAGAGTCTTCTGCAAAGGAGGAAAGCCTCCAATTTCCCACAGACAGAGAAATAGACCCCTTAATTTCAGTGGGTCTACTCTGAGTAAAACTTGTTTTGTGAAGTGCAATCAACAGAGGGCTGCCCTTAGACTGCCGTTTGGGGATTAAATGCCTGCTCAGGAAGTTCACAGTCCTTTTCAGCCAGTCACCCTCTCACTGTAGTCTCACAGTGCTGTTGTGAGAAAAGCCTACATAGGTAACTCTGAGCAACTTTGAGGAGCAGGAAACAGACATAAATCAAACTACCCTGTGTCCACCACATGGCTGCGACACTTTTCTGCCATACCTGCAGTCTTCTGTTTTCAGCAACTTCCTGTCCTTGCTGTTCCATCTTGGCTACCTTTTCCTGAAGCACCAACACTTCCTGGGAAAGTCGCTCAACTACTGGCATTTCTTCAGGGTCAACCAGCTGCATCTGCAAGTCCTGGAAGTCAAGGAGAATGGAAAAGTGCAGTCATGGCCCTGGGCCTGGTCTACCACCAGCTTCCAGTCAAGAGATCTTCCACATCACTAAAGTGTGGAGTACATCTGGAATGGGAGGCCCTGAATGAAAAACCCAACACAGGTCTTGTCAGAAAAAAGCACCAAGGCAAAAGCCAGCTCCAGATGGCTGGAATGCAAAACAGGATGTTGTGGTTTGCAGATGTACTGTTGGAGAAAAGGTGGAGCCTATTCTCTGTACTGAGCACCGGATGTTAGCTCAGAGTGTCATCTGACCTGTGCTGGAAGTGCAGGGGCGGAGTGAGACTCTTCTAATGGAGTCTGAAGGGTACAGACACATTTCTCTGTACTGCTGAATGGCAGGAATAAAAAGTCATATAAATAGACTCCTGTCTGTCTCATTTCCCCTCCTGGGGGGGAAAGCAAGGAGAGAGAAGCAGAGGGTGTGTTCTCCTCACGTCTAATGAGGAGAACCGCCGGTTTACGACCTAGTCTGCCGGGAGACGCAGACGGAAGGTAAGCAAGTATCTCACTCAGTTTGCCTCGGGGGAGGCCAGCTACCTCTGGCTGTGAGCTGAGATACTAACATATGGTAGCAGAGGATGGTTGCGATTCATCAGACATCTGCATGAGAGGCTGGTGAAGTGTCCTCCTCTGCTCCGAGGGAGAAGATAAGCGTCTGATAGCAGCCGGAGGCTGACCTGATGGATGGATCCAGAGGAAAGTGTTTTTCAAAGCAACAGAGCTCAAGGTATGCTGCATTTCGGGCTAAAAGTGTGGACGCAGATTGATTTTATTCTCTGGTTCACGGGAGAGCTGCGTTTGAAAAAGCAACAGCTCTGGGAGGAGAGGCCTGCAGCTCAGAGACTCAGCCTGCATTCCACAAATTCCTGTGGTTTAGATAAGCCTTCCCGCATGCGCAGTAGCTAAAAGACACCCGTCAGAGACGTGGAAATTTACTAGCTACGCAGATGGTTCTGAATGAGCCTGGGAAGCGAAAGATTGTTTTGTCTATGTTGCCGAAGCTGTGCAAGGTCTGAGAATCAGCTTGCAGCTTGCCTGGAAAGGCGTAAACAACTCAGCAAGAGGTTATTGGAGTTTTAGCAAGGCTGGAAAGTGTGAGAGAGGCTTGGCTTCAAGATGGATGCCAAGAAAGGGGGAGCTCTGCCTTGCCCTCCTCCCTTAAATGATGACAATTATTCATCTTGGTCTGTAAAGATGAAGGCCCTGCTGCAGAATCAGAGGCTTTTTGATGTAATTGAAAACCCCATCCCTGCAGCACCAACCGGAGGTTGGGAATCACAGAATGTGAGGGCCAGGACTGCTATAATTCTGTGTGTCTCAGATGAGCAGTTGGTGCATATTCAGCATTTACAAAATGCGAAAGAGGTTTGGGATACGCTACGCACAACGCATCAGAGAGATGCTGGTTCTTCAGCGTTGCTGTATTTTGAGAAGTTAACCAATCTGAGACTTGCGCCTGATGGAGATGTTCAAGCGCACCTGACAGAAATGAAGTTTCTGCGTCAACAGATGGTGGAACGCAATTTCCGTCTTCAGGAGGAAGTATTTTGCTTCATGATGATTAACAGCCTTAATCGCACCTACAAGGTTGTTGCCAGTCAGCTTGGTTCCCTACCGGCCGCGCAGCTAACCGCGGAGAGAGTGTGTGCTGTGGTCCTGAATGAACACGACAGACTTGCTGCCCTGGAAGTGAAGGACAGGGGGAGGGAAGAACAGAGTTCTAATTCCCCCACTGCTGAATCTACTGGAGAGCGTGTTGCAGCATTGAGTGCTGTCCGATGCTACAATTGTGGACAGACTGGGCATCTACAGCGAAACTGTAAGAAGCCGCGTCAGTCAAGAGGAGCAAAGAGCAGCTCTACGAAGCCTGAGGCATCAGGCAAAAGCCGTTCCAAGTGCCAGGTGAAACCTGCAAAGGCTATGATGGCGAAAGGAACCACGCCAGATGTTGGGAACGCCTTTATAATCGACACTGGATGTACAAAACATTTATGCCCACACAGACAACTGTTTTCGACGTTGAAGAAGCAAAGCTTCACTGTGAAACAGGCCAACGGTCAGGAGTTGGAAGCGACCGGAATTGGGACTGTGTATCTTGAGAGTCTGAACTTGACTATAAGCGATGTTTACCTGGTTCCAGAACTGAGATTTAATCTGCTGAGTGTGTCGCAGATTGCAAAGAAAGGACTGAAACTGTCCTATGATGCGAAAAGCTGCAAGATCTACAAAGATGGAGAACTGTTTCTTACTGCCAAAGAGAAAGATGGACTGTATTTGTTGACTTTTGATCAAAGTGATTACATGAAATGTAATTCTTCTGATTCTAACGAAATCTCTCTTGCAGGTGTGACCAGTGTGAGCACCAGGAAGGTGACCAAGAAGGTCGACAGAGCATTTCAGCGGGTGTATGCTGATGTGATTGGTCCTCTAGAACCATCTAGGGGCAGTGCAAAATATTACCTTTTGTGTGTGGATTGTTTCACTAATTATTCTTGGGTTTATTTGATGGAGAAACCGCAAGAAACTTTAGAAAAGTTTCAGTAGTTTTGTGACAAGGTAAAAAATATGCATGATGCTAACATTGATTGTCTTTTCACAGATGACAAACAAGTTTTTCTGTTACAGAAGTTTCAGAAGTTCCTGGATGGAGAAGGGATAGACCACAAAGTTGCTGTCTCGCCAGAAGCGTGGAACAGAGGGGTCTGTGTTAGGGTGAACAAAGAATTGCAAAAGGGGATGCATGCGCAATTGCTGAGCTCACATTTGCCACATGAATATTGGGCCGAATCTCTAGCGTCCTATCTTCATGTGTGGTTGAGAAAAGTCTCAACAGAGTTGGGATGTTCTCCTTTTGAGAAGCTGTTCAATAGAAAACCTTCTGTTGCCTATTTTAAGGTTTTCGGGTCTCATGTGAGAACAGAAGCTCCAGGTGGAGTAAAGAATGCCAGAGGCATTTTTGTGGGTTATGAAAAGGGTCTCTACAGAGTAATTTTGTCTGAATCTGGTCAGGTGATTCTCACAAAGTTTCTAGAGAGTGCTCCTGAACAAGAGCGGGTTGTAGAACACACATTTCCCACAGGTGGCAATTCAGATGATGATGATTTTTCTGATGTCACAGATTACAGTGGTACTGATGATGACAGTGATAGCTCAGAGAGTTCAGTTGTAACAGTCATTGAGAGAAAATCTCACACAATGGATAGACCTTCACAGGTGAAGGAAGAACCACTGTTAGCCAATGCTACTGGTTCTCAACAGAGTCCAGAGGTTGAACCAGTGAGCACAGAGAATCAGAACCTCATACGCAGGTCTGAGAGAGTCACAAAGGGTGTGCCACCAAAGAGGTACTCAAAAGAGTTTGCTAACTTAGCTGTTGCATGTGTTGCTATAGTTAACAACTCAAAGCAGGTTAAAGCAGTGTCTAAGTCAGAGACAAAGACACAACAGAGAGTAGCAAGCCAAGGTAATGCAGAAGCACTCATTCCTTGGAAACGAGACAACCAGAGAGGTACACTGGTGAAACCAGTGGTGGGGAGTTCCAAGGGTGGAACTGAAACAACAGGGGACTGTTATATGTATAACAACTGTTTGTTTTCTTCTCTGGATCATGTTTTGCCTAGTGATGCTTTTGGGGGAGGATGTCAGGAAAAAGCACCAAGGCAAAAGCCAGCTCCAGATGGCTGGAATGCAAAACAGGATGTTGTGGTTTGCAGATGTACTGTTGGAGAAAAGGTGGAGCCTATTCTCTGTACTGAGCACCGGATGTTAGCTCAGAGTGTCATCTGACCTGTGCTGGAAGTGCAGGGGCGGAGTGAGACTCTTCTAATGGAGTCTGAAGGGTACAGACACATTTCTCTGTACTGCTGAATGGCAGGAATAAAAAGTCATGTAAATAGACTCCTGTCTGTCTCATTTCCCCTCCTGGGGGGAAAGCAAGGAGAGAGAAGCAGAGGGTGTGTTCTCCTCACGTCTAATGAGGAGAATCGCCGGTTTACGACCTAGTCTGCCGGGAGACGCAGACGGAAGGTAAGCAAGTATCTCACTCAGTTTGCCTCGGGGGAGGCCAGCTACCTCTGGCTGTGAGCTGAGATACTAACAGGTCTTTCATTTGCAACATCCCAAAGAAGGCCTGCGACTAAACAAACCAAACCTGCTTCATATTAAAAGATTCTGCTGCTTCTTATAATTTTGCATTTAACCAAAGGTTTTCTGCTGCCAGTGTTAAACCATATACTAAACTATACACACAGATATCTGCAGCCAGAGAGAACCAGAGTCAGGGCCCTTTTGTCCCACCTTTATGAGTTCTTCTTTTATCTGGATGCTTCTCGTCAGAGATTCAACATCAGAAGCTTGAACCTGTAGCTCCTCTTCTTGGGAGACCAGGACAGACTGAAGAGCAGCAAGTTCCAACTGTGGAGAAGAGAAACGAGAGCCAGTAACAGCAAAGAGAAGGCAAGGGAGAGAAGTGCCACATGAGGATGTGGCAAATGTTTCTCATGCTGTCTTAGGCTGCTAGATCTGTCAGCTGGCACATGGCATCCTTCCCTTGGAGAACTGCCCAGAACTACAGCCCTTCCTTTCCCGCTCAGCAGGCAGCACATGGGCATGCTGGTTGTGCTGCCAGGGGCCTCTGTTCCTCAATACCTTGACTCAGACTCACTCTGCTTTCCTTCTCCTTTTGTGTCAAAAGCTCAAGCTGTTCTTTGGCACCAGTAAGCTCTTCCTCAAGTCCAGCAGTTGCCTCCCAAGCTCCTGGAGAGAAAGCAGAACAATGTTAGGCTGGGATCTCATACATCTTACCCCATCTCACAACTTTAAAAATCAAAAGTGGTGCAATCCCTGTGGAGAGAAAAACCTGGAGGTGAAGGGGAACTTTCAGTTGAAAAACAACCAGAGTAAAAAGAGTTAAGGATCCCACTTTCCTCCCAAAAGTTTTTTTTTAAATGAATACACACAGAGAGAAAGATGCATTAGCAACAGAGATTAACAGGTCAGCTGCTCCCCCTCCCCTCTCCCCAAAGAAACCCTGGACTAATAAAAAAGCTTTCACCCGGTGCCAGAAAGGCAGTCTCAAAGCCAGGTGATTTTCCTTCAGGACACCAAATTAAACCTAGTGCAGTGATATCCACACAAGAGATGGGGAACCTGTGGACTACAACTGCCAACATTGGTCATGGTGGCTGGGGCTGATGGGAGTTGCGAGTCCAAGCAACATCTGGAGGGCAAAAAGCTCCCCATCCCTGGACTACAATGACAGGCAGCACCTGTCCAGTGTGCTCAGACAGGGGCAGTTCCCTGGAGGAGCAAAGGGCCCCTGCAGGCAAAGCAAAGAGCTCCATCTCCCTGACAAGCAGCCGTGGGCTTAGAGGTCACATGCAGCAAAAGCAGCTGAATTGTTCCTGCCAGCAAACATTCTGGGTGGCCAAGGGTTAAACTGAATGGAAGCTGCTTATGGACCAACCTTTCTTCACGTTGAAATGGCCATCTCCGTTCTTAGATGTCATGGTAGTGGGGCTCTTGCTTGAGCTTTCTTGCCTCAGTGCCTAAGAACATAAATATACGCATTATTTCACTGATATTTCATAGGCCTTGAGAGTTTGAATAAAGTTTTCAACTCCAAAGTTGAACAATGAGAAACTACAGTGTTTGCTCACAGTCTGTTTTCTCCCTCTGAGAAGCACCAATTCTGCTCACTCACTTCAACATTGCTCTCATTTCTTTCCTTTAGGAAAGACTTCAGGGCTCTGCTCTGAAAACACTTTGCTTTAAAACTGCACACATAGGGCCAAGCTAGATGTGGTGCTAAATGCATCATTAGAAACCATTTCTCTCCATATGGTCCTGGGCTTGCAGGCCAGGCCACCATGCAACCATTTCCCCACTTGATTCCTAAGCCCTGACCACAAGCGGCACTGGAGGCTGAGGCTAAGCACCACTGAAGATGGAGGAGTCTGCTCAGGGCACAGATTATTGCAGCGTGGACCTCCATTTCCTCACCCCTTTTCTTTCCAAGCAGGCCTTCCCCTCCCCCTCTCAGGCCAACCTCTGGGAGGGAATGTTCTCTCACAGAAGCACATGCTTACTTCCGAGTCATCCTTCTGTAGGAGATGGGCAGTGGAAGCTTCCATCTTCTCTTGTGAAAGCTGGCCCTGCAGTTGCTGACGTAAATCTTGCAGCTCACAACTTCTTTCTATTAAAGCCCGTGCCATTTTCTCAGAAGATATCTGATAATGACAATAATAGTAGTAGTAGTACCCTGCCCATCTGCTTGGGTTGTCCCAGCCACTCTGGGCAGTACTGATACATCACCCAGGACTGGTATGAGGGCCGGCTCTTCCTGGTGGTATATTGCGAGTGAAACCACTGCTGCTCCCGAGTCCCTCTGCCACTGAGGCAGAAACAAGCTGCAGCCAGGCACTGGTGGCAGAGGGACTCGGGAGAGGTGGCAGTTTCACCCAGCAGTGTAGACTCTAGATCAGCGTACTCCTGCCCAGATCAAAAGTACACCACAGATCAAAAGCACACCCTGCCACATGGACTGAACCAGATATAATCTGAGGTGGGATTCCATGGGCTCTGGGGCAACTGCGAGCCTGAGCCACACCAGACAAGGCAGATTGGGTGTGGATGCCAAGCCTCCAACATCCCCTCAGAGACCACATCCAGCAGCAGGGTGGGGAGTGCGCTCACAGAATCCCTAGCCTGTAATGAAAGCCCAAGCGTGAGGTACAAATATTTGATATGGAAAGACTCCTAAACAGAATACACAAAGAAGGAAACATACTAGACAGAAGAACCTGAGGGCATAAGAAAAATCCCGAGGGATGAGGCCAAAGGGCCATTCAGCATCCTCCTCTCACGGAGGCCCACCTGATGCCCATGGGAAGCCTGGAAACAGGGCCTGAGGGCAACAGCATCCTCCCCACTTCTGAGTCCCAGCATCTGGTTTCAAGAGACATATTACCTCCGGAAGCAGAGGAAGAATGTAGCCATCGTAGCCATGCAGGAGCTCCACCTCCCCAACCACCGAGTCTCTCTTGCTGAGACAGAGACGCCTGCAGATGCATCTGGGAGAGAGTGGCATAGAAAGCCCAAGAGAAGAGTGCCAACCCCAGTGCACAGCTGCCCACTTACACAACTCTGCTGCTCTCTGGTGTGGACAGCTTGAAGCAACTCCTGAAGCTCAGCCATTTGCTCCACAGTCTGCCGGCTCTTGTCACTGAGGAGTTCCTCTATGATCTGCTCTTTCTGCTGAAGGCAGAGATACAGCTCTTCCACAAGCTCCCTCTGCCCAGGCCCAAGCTTGCATAGCAGTTTTGCTGACAGTGCCTAGGGAAATGACAATGACAAGGATGATCAAGAGGGAGGAGGAAAGCAGGCCTTCCTGTTTCAGACAGGGTGCTGAGATCAAGGAGAAGAGGGAATTTCAGAGGTTATTCAACTACGATTACCTGGGCACCATTTCTGGCAACGTACAATGATCAACACAACCAACAACTGCTTTCTGGTTTCTGGTTTAGTAACGATGTCGTACCTGCAGAATGACTGTGAACCTGGATCAATCACTGGCTGAGAGGATGGGGCAACAGTCCCAGGGCCTCCCAACAGAGCTGCCTTTCTCACTTACTTCCACTTTCTTATTCCTGTCCTGCAACGCCGCCTGCAGCTGCCGGATTGTTCCCTCTTGCTCTGCCTGCCACTTGAGAGATTTTGCTTCAACTTCCTCTTTCAGCCAGCGCAAATTCTGGTAGCTTGTCAAGAGCTGCTCAAGTTCCAGGCCCTTTGCTTTCAGCAAGCTCTCCATTCCCTACGGGAGAGGGGAGAGGGTGGACAGCAACGAGATCAGCAGAAGGCCAAGCCAGACCTCCGTCTAGATTTCTCATGGTACAAAACAAGCAACATCTATTTCCATCAGGTCCTTTATGCAGCTCTACAGTGGTATGCATACTTTGGACATTTTAAGGTTTTAAGGTCCAAGTTCAACTCCTGTGATCTCTGCTGCAGAAGAACCCAATTCAGGAGAGAAAAGCCCTTTGCAGAGACTTTGGAGAACTACTACAAATAAGAGCTGCTCAACAGTGGAACGGTCTCCCACAGGAGGCTGTGGACTTACTCTCCTTCCTTGGAGGGTTTAAAGCAGAGCTTGGATGGCCATCTGTCATGGATGCTTTAGCCTAGATTGCTGCATTGCAGGGGGCTGAACTAGAGGACCCTACTCTGTGGTTCTATCATTCTATGTGAGGATAGAAATGTTGGGCTGGCTTCTTGTTGTTTTTCAAATGATATTTATTAAGAAATTTTAAAATTACAAAAAAGTAGAAAGAAGAAAAAAAAGGGGGGAATAAAAACAACAGAAAGACAAATGGCAATCAAACAATACTAATCAATAGAAATCAAAAGCAAAAAGCAAAAACAAAACACATAACACATCAAAATCACAAAAGAATAAACCACAAAAATTTTAAAAACAGTTCCAATATTCTCAAATCCTTAACTGTCATAGCCTTATTTCATCGACCTCCTCACACCTCCCTTTTTTGTATTCTAATTATTAATTATAACAGCAAATCCTTTCCATTTTTCATAATATCCTGTCATTAAAATACCTTGATCTATTTTTGACCTATATTACATAAAAAACAACCTGAAATTTAAAACTTAAATCTTATTTATGCCAATTTCTCCTAACCTTAACATATTCTTGCAAAGCTCTTTTTAACATTTCTGCTAGAGCCAAATAATTTCATTCCAACATTTTCCTAATATTCATTAATTTTTCAGAACAGTCCTAAATAAATTTTTTCCCAATCTTCATCCAACGTCTCTTCCTCCTGGTCCCGGGATTAGTCAGTCCTTTCTTTCCCATCCATCTAGTCCATTAACCTGGCAATCTTATGTCCGAGGCCCTTAAGTCTCTTCCATGTCCCTTTTGCAGATCTTCTTCATGTTTATACCTGTACCTTACTTTGTCTCCTGCTCCTTTCACTCGTGGAAACTCCAACTTAACAATATTTTTGTCCCTTCTCGACAGATCAGCCCCTTTTCCATAGTCCACACCGAACTCCATGTGATTTTTAAAGGCATGTTTCAAACCCCCTCCAAAGTTGAGGACCTCCACTTCCCCAAACTCCTCATGGCCCATTGCCAGGCTTGAAAAGTCAAAACATCCCTGCATAGGGGGTCTATCCAGCCCCCCATCTCCAAGCCGAGTATACCTCTATCTCTCCAAATCTGGCTTTTTCCAAGTTCATTTGTCAGATCCAACAACTCATGTTCCTGCTGGGCCACAGCTCCCTCCATCTCTGCCCCCCGAGGTCCAACAACAACCTCCTCCCTCATCTGATCTGTCAAAACACAAGTTGGTTCCTGTGTGGGTTCTATATAGATACCCACTGCCTGTCCAGAATTTCTGATCGCAACAGTCATCAAATCCGTCTTCTCAAGTAGCTGTTCCAGTAAGGCACTTGTCAAATCCGTCTTCTCATGTAACTGTTCCAGTAAAGCACTTGTCTTGCAAAAAGCACACACCAGAGCCTCTGAATACATTGTTATACAAGGTCAAAAGTCTGTTCCCACGGTCTTAATCTATTTGCAGCTGCAAGACAGTAACAGTTTCACAAGCTCCCTCTAGGGGAAGAACTTCTATTTGTATCCATCTTTTTTGTTGGGCTGGCTTGTTGGCACCATTAGGTATAATTAAGTTGTGCTGAGTGCTACTCTGAAACTCTGGATTAACCCTAACATAGCTCAAGTCAACCTAAAAGCAATGGCAAATGAATTGCTGCAAGAGTCGTCTTGAAGAGTGCTGCATTAATACAGTGTCAGTCTCAAGAGTGGGCAGGAAGCCATGGCAGATGGAAGGAATGGCATAAGCATTGCCCTTCCTGCTGCAACCCACCTGAATGGTAGCCTCATTATGGGAGAGGACCCTGCGCAGCTCTTCCAAGTCATGCTCTCGCTCTTTCACAGCCAAGCGAAGCTGCTGCAGCTCCTGCTCCTTGTCTTCAAGCACACAGAATTTCTCATCGATCGCTCGCTGCAACAAAAAAGGCCACGAGTGGGCAAAGAAGTAGCAAGCGTCACAAACTCAAGCAACCAAGATTATAATTTAATAAAATGCATATAAACTATTTAAATGATTTACAAACATAGAAAAAGGGTTCCACAATATTGTGGAACTCACAACTCACACCCCACTCATGGTTAAGAGGGAGATTCAGCTCCCCTTCCCCTCTTCAATGCGCCAGACAAGAGAGAAAAGAGGACATCTGCTCTTGGCACTGCAAGGGCCGGTCCAAGACATTTGGCTGCCTGAGGGAAAGGGCAAGATGCAGCCCCACCCCCTACAGAAGCCACCCAGACTGCCACCTAAGAGCAGCAGGCCACCTCAGAGGTGCAGAGCAGGGTGCTCTGTGCTCTGCAAAACCTACCAGCTGAGGAGACCTGGGACAGCAAAGGATGGCACCAGTGTGAACACAGAAAAAATACACAAGAGATTGTGTTGGACACCTCTGTAATTACCTCCAGGATGGCATCCCTGTCTTTGATTCGTTGTTGCAATTTCTTCACCATATTATCAGCTGATGTGGGGCTCTTGTCCAAGCTCTGGTGATACTGAATAAGTTCCTTAGATTCCTGCAGAAATGGAACATATTGACACCATCAATAACGCCTGAGCAACTTCAGAAAGCTCCAAGAGAGAAGCAATGCTGGTGACAGATCCAAGCGTTCTTGGGAAGGCAAATGAAGCAGTTGTGAATAGGGAGAAGGAGGCAACTTTTCTGACCCACATTTACCCAAGGTCAGGGCACAAGCCACAGCCAAGCATAGCCTTTTATCATGAGACAGCAAGGACTGGCCCAGCACCTTCGACTCCTTTAACCTTGACTGGCCAGTGCAATGTACTCTAGAGCAGCCTAGATAGGGCTTACCTTGAAAGCTTTCTGAAAAACCATTGCATGCCTGCTCACAGGATGGGGGTAGCCACAAGCAGTCCGAATCTGAGTGAATTTATCTGCAAAAAAAGCTTTGCACAATCATTGCAGGAGATCTTGGGGTCTATACCAGGCCCTGATGGCAAAGGTGGTTCCGTTAAATTACGAACCACCTGAAAGAGTCTCCTGCTGCTATTTTCTGCAGATGCAATAGAGGCAGTGAAGAAAGTCCTCTTCGCCGTCTCTATCGACACTTGGCAGGCTCAGCGTTGAGCTCTAACCCATGTCCGGTCAGATTCAGAATGAGTTTTCTGCCACTGGCACCCTAACCGTCTCAGCGGTTGTTTCCGTGATTGGAGAAGGCAATGAACACATGCAACGGGTAGGCAGTGGCTAGAGTGGGGAGGGAGGGAGGAGGCTTGTATTCGCAATATACTGCCGGGTTGGAAATTCTGAAATCCTTAACTGCGGTCAAGACCTCAAACTGCTTTGGGGCGATGTTTTGATACATCACCCAGCCCTACTATGTATCTGATCATAATGCAGTTATGTGGGGGCCATAACCTGGGGAAGGCTGGTGTACTGATATGTCTTTACTTAATGATTAACATTTTGTTCAACCAAAGTGGGAAGAGACTATACAATATTTTGAACTGAATTAAGCAACAACCTCTGTGTGAAAGTCTGAATGGGAAGCGTACAAAGTACGTATCAGTGGACATATTATAGCACCTGCGTCCAATAAAAATCAGCTTAAAAACAAGGGAAAGAATAACTTGATAAATGAAAGAATCTTGGGCACAAATGATTAGAAATCCATCTACAAAATACAAAAAAGTATGAATTAAATAATATTCTTTCTCAACAGACAGAATTCATGCTTGCATGTACAAAGAAGAAATACTAGGAAAATGGTGAAAAAACAGCCATGATCTTGGCTAATTGTTTAAAACAAAAGAAAGACAGAGCATTGATTCCCAGTATTAGAGGGGCAACCAATGAATTATAAAATTCTCCAAGTGATATTAACACCCAGGTTTTTTAAATTTCATGCAGAATGGGCAACTCAATGAAAGTAGAAAAGGAAGATACACATGTCCTTTTTTAAAAAAAATACCATTTAAACCGTATACAAAAACAATTTTAGCATCTCTAATTTTAAGATCTGGATTAAATGGATTCCCATCTGAATGATTTAAAACTGTGTGGATCTTCTAGCATCAAAACTATATTTATTATATGAAGAGGGGAATTCTTTCAATGACATTCAATCAAGCATATATTGGTTATACCAAAACCAGACAATATCATTAACTAATGTAAATATAAAGATTTTAACAACCGTTTTGGCAAATAGAGTGCAACAAGCGATATTGCCAATAATAATGAGTGACCAGGCAGGATTCACTAAAACTAAACATGCTTCAGACAATATCAGGCTAGTGGCTGATCTAATAGATTTAAATAGAATAAGAAAGTAATCTTTTTTTTTAGGATACTGAAAAAGCTTTTGATAAAATTTATAAACAGTACATGCAGGAAGTGCTGGCTAGATTAGGATTTCCTTTGATATTTGATGCATCCACATCCAAGACACAGGAAATACTCAAACACTTGACTGAATCCTTAAAAGCTAAAAAAAACCCCAGCTATTACTTTTTACAGAAGTTTAGTGTCAATCTGACACACAGACTTTGAGAAATGAATGGAATAAGGAATTAACAAGCCTCATCTTAACTGAACAATGGGATAATGTTTTAGCCTGTTTTTAATGTGTTGTTAGATTCCTAGCAATGCACTGTAAGCCAAAAGCAGAATTAAATAAACCTTCCATTACTGAGCTTTTCCTTTGAGTACATCCCAATATGCTCTGTTGGCACCAACTGGTGTGAAATGGCTGCTGGGGGGTTTGAGCCTCATTGTGGTGGGTGTCATTCCTTTTCTTTACTACAGTTTTCACATATTTTAGCCAAGTAAAAGTGAACAAAAATGCAGTTCCCCACAAATCTTATAATAAATGTGTGCTGAGTTGCAATAGGTTCATTTCCCCGTGCATCGTTACATGAAAGAGAAGCAGAGCTGGGTATCATCCGCATATTGATGAACACCCAGCCCAAATGCCCTGATGATCTCTCCCAGCGGCTGCATGTAGATGTTGAAAAGCATGGGGGAGAGGACAGAGCCCTGAGGCACCCCACAAGTGAGAGCCCAGGGGTCTGGACACTCATCCCCCACCACCACTTTCTGAACACGGCCCAGGAGGAAGGAGCGGAACCACTGTATAACAGCTCTACACCACTCCTCTGTTCTTTTGAAAATGTTATAGCCTTTGTGAGAAAAGACAGAACTACTGCAAAAAATATACAGGATGACAGCATCATGCAGATGAACAAAGCTGGTTAATTCCAGACTAGTGTGGAAGCTTCCCTTTAGCAACTGTATTTCCCAACACCAACAACTCTGGGAACTGTTTTGGTTTTATCTTTGGAGCCTCTCACCTGTTAAACACACATACCATGTGAAATAAGGTGTGTTTCTGCCCAAACAGAATTTAACAACCCATCTGTATCTCACCTGTAGAAGCTGTTCTCTGCAAGCCAGCCTGTGCTTCAAATGCTTCAGTTTCAGCTCTTGTTTCTGCATCTCTGACCATCTTTCTCTTTCCAAAGTACAACATTGCCAGTTTTTGTTCTGCAGCTCTGTTCTTACTTGTTGAAGAGCACAACGCAGCTCCTGGAAACCAACACAACAATGTAGTCATTAGTCAATCAGGCCTGGAAGCATCTCTGGAGCTCTCAAAAGGGCAGAAAGGTTGAACTGAGCTGCAAGAGGGAAAGCGACAGGACTGCTCACACTCCCCAAAAGGCAAACTCTGGCCATTTCCACCACACTGCCACAAACCGGTTGTGTGAACCTTACTTTTACAGTTAGTAACGTGAGGCTTTTTATTTGTGACATGAAAACATTTTCTGGCCCTTGAAGTACAGCAAAGGACAATGCAAGACATTCAGCTGTTCAAGCTCCATTTAGGCCTGGTCCCTTACCTTTCTCACCCTGTTCTGGCCACAGCAATCCATGTGACGGTCACCTCCAGGCTTGATTATTGCAACTCGCTCTACGCAGAGCTGCCCTTGAAACTGACCCAGAAACTCCAGCGGGTGCAGAACGCCACAGTGAGACTCCTTACAAGGTCCTCACCCTGGGACCACATTCAGCCAGTTCTATACCAGCAGCACTGGCTCCCGGTGGAATACAAGGTCAGGTTTAAGGTGCTGGTTTTAACCTCTAAAGCCCTACATGGCCTAGAAGTCTCGTACTTACAGGACCGCCTCCCCCGGTATGCCCTGCAGAGGACCTTACGGTCTGCAAACACTAATACTTTGGAGGTCTCGGGTCTCAAGGAGGTTAGACTGGTCCCGGCCTGGTGGAACGCTCTGCCGCAAGAGAGCAGGACCCTGCAGGATTTGACATCTTTCTGCAGGGCCTGCAAGACGGAGCTGTTCTGCCAGGCCTTTGGTCTGGGTGCAGTTTGACCTCCCTCTTTCTATGGGACCCTGTACGTAAGCGGCCTCCTTGGCTCTTTCCATGGGCCCATATGGGACCAGCACGTATGGCCGGGCCCGATGAATATTTAATATTCCTTACCACTATAGTTGTTGCCATTCAATTTCATTTTGATTTTAATGTGATTTTGAACTCTATTTTAATCAATCGTTTGTGTTTTTATTGTATTATATATTTGGTGTTAGCTGCCCTGAGTGTGGTCCTGGCCGGGGAGGGCGGGGTATAAATAAATTTATTATTATTATTATTATTAATTATTATTATTATTATTATATTTTGATGGGTGGAAAGGGCTCAATGAACGAATTCATGCCATACCTGGTTGTGTTTCCATGCGGCCTCTTTCTGCTGCTGCTCCTCTTGCAGCCATGTTTCTACAAGGCAGGAGGTCTTCCTGGCCTCAGCCAACTGGAGATCCTTTTTCTGATGAGCCGTCTTCAGTTGCTGCACTTCCAGCTGAGTGAAGAAAAGGGTGTTCTGTACCTCCAGGAGTGCTACCGGCTGTGTCTGCTGCAACACAGAAGAGCCCCCTGGGATCTGCAGAAAGGTGAAAACAGAAAAGGGGGGGGGGGGTTTAAGACTGAAATCACTGCCCAGAAAAATACTGGAGCTTTTAAAAGTGCATTCCATGGTATATCATAGGCTCTTGCGGGTAGCCAATGCTGCAGGCAAAATTCTTTAAGGGTGGAACATTTTCAGACAGTGAGGAAGTAGCTAGTGGCACCTGCATGTACACTACATAATCTGAATAGCTTGGTTGTATATTTAGTCTCCTTGGAATCTAATGGGGATTATCTTTGTTTACTTATTATATTACCTTTGTTTACCATATATTACAATCTACAGCTAATTTTCTTGAAATACAGTACTCTAAACATCAGGGCAATATACTTTGAACCTCTAGTTCAAATGTCTGGGATAAGACAAGACATATTCGATATAAGACAAGAAATATCAAAATAAGATACATACCTGCAATTGCCCAAGTTGGGTTTTATGTAGTGTGTCTTGTAGTTTGGCTATTGTCTCATTCTGCCCTTCAATTACATGGTACAGTTCTTCAGACTACAGGACAGAATTGAGCAGTGAGAAATTAACAAAGGCACCTATCACCTCCCCCTCCCAAGACATAATCTGTAGTGGGGTAGTTGAGATAGTGGATTTCAACATTGCATTATTTCACATGTTCTCTCTGCACAAGCGCTGCCACTTGCTACAAGGAGCAATCTCCCAACTCCTCCCCTGAGTGCTGTTCTGGGGGGGGGGTCCCCTGAATCCTCGCCAGAGCCTATTTCAGGTAGAGCACAAAGCAGAGGCCCCGCTGCACAAGACAGAGTCTTTTAGCTGGTGGGCATGTTCGGGAAATTCCGCCCCAAGGTGCAACAAGACTGTTAGAATTTCCTAAAATGCTGTACCAGAAAGGACAGCTCACCCCATTCTCTATAGAATTATCTTACCCAATTTCACATACTGGGAAGATTTCATATGCTACAAATAACAGTTAGTTGTAATTTTGAATCACTGACTCTATATCAGCATTTACTGGACAAGGAGATGGCAACACTACAAACCTCTTTCTCTTTGCTCTTCAAGGTCTCATTCAAGGTCTGGATTTTGTGATCCTGTCTCTGGGATGTATGTTGAACAGACTTCAGTTCAAAATCCATCTCATTCAGTTTCTCTTGCAGCTGCTAAATGTCGTAAACAAACACACACTTTGAACTCGACCATATAAGATACTCTTTTCCATTCTCAGTACAGGCACACCTCAGGGACAATACAGGTTTGGTTCCAGACCACCAAAATAAAGGGAATATTGCAATAAAGTGAGCCCCACAATTTTCTTTGTTTCCCAGTGCATATAAGTTATGTTTACACTCTACTGCGGTTCAGGGAAGTTTTTAACGTGTGATATTTTAGTGTATTTTTGGTTTCTATGGAAGCCGCCCAGAGTGGCTGGGGAGGCCCAGCCAGATGGGCGGGGTATAAATAATAAATTATTATTATTATTATTATTATTATTATTATTATTATTATTATTATTACTACTACTACTACTACTGCGGTTTATTAAGCCAGGCCCCGCCGGCTGCAGGGGTGGAGTGGAGAGGGAGGCAGCTTCCTTTCCCTGGAAGCAGCTGCGCTGCCTACAGCTGTGCCCACATCCTCGTAAGGAGAAGTATCTGCAAAGTGCAATAAAATGAGGTATGCCTGTACAGCTTTAACCTACTGCTGAATTACTCAACCTTTCTACATATTTACATGAATTGCAATTTCCTAAGCCTCCAACATATATTGTATTATTGAAAAGTTTACTGCCTGTTACGGAAGGGGGGGGGCATGTCTTCTTCACTACAAATATTTGCTCAATTTCTCTAGGACTCCATCACCCCTCCCCTGTCCTCCATAATCTCTCAAGTAAGGTGTCTGCCAAACCTTTCCTCCAGGCAATGCCAGGTGACAGACTACGCATACATGGACCATTGTCTTCTCAGGATGTGCTTATCTGCGCATATCTCCAGCTCTGCATATTCCCCCCTCCCTCCTCCATATCTCCAGCTCTCTGCATATTCCCCCCTCCTTCCTCCATATGTTAATCCAGTGTAACCCAACCTCTCCTTAATGTATTCATGATGTAATCTGTGTAACCCAACCTTTCCTTAATGTATTCATGATGTAACTGGGATGTATTTTGCACTGTATTCTGGGACATGGAGGGAGTTTCAAAAGTTCATGCCATCCCTTTCTCGCTGTTCAATCTCGTCTTGAACCTGTTGCGCAATAAACTTGGATCTTCTGCAGTTTGCTCCTGTCTGGCTGAGGTCATTTTCTTCCGCAGGGACCCGCGGACACTTAGTCCGACGAGCTGGGTGGCAGAGTAGCCCCGCACCCAGATTTAGCCAACGTGGGGCTGGTGGTTCTCCCGCGTTGCTGACCGGGGGCCCCGAAATCTTCAGCCGGCACCAGGCCATTTTGCCTGGGAAGATCCTTTGGACCCCCGGCCATCTTCCGGGCGGTAATCGAAAGCCCCAGGAGTTCAGCCAGGGAGCAAAGAGGGATCCAGCCGGCTTATTCATCGATCCCGGGATCATCATAGAAGACACGTGAGTATAAGGAAAAGGAAAATCCAGTGCACTGGTGGGAAGGGGGTGGAAATCTCCTGGCAACTGAATTCTCTGCCCTCCTCTCTATCGCTCCTTCTCGCCTGTCTCTTGGTCCAATTGGTGAGAGAGACCGTGGACTGCTGCTCGAACCAAAAGGGGGGTTCTGAGCTCTATCTCTTTCTCCTCTCAAACCCTCCAGTCAGCCGCACCAATTGAGAGTCCGAAAGTAAGACGGAGAGACCCGGCTTGGAAAGACAGCCGACTCTCCGCAACGGGCATCTCAGTTGAAAGCAAGGGGCTGGAGTTCTTCTTCCGAACTTCCCGAGCGCCCTTACGGAGGGGGCAGGAAGTGGTCTTGCTTTCTATCCCAATCCCAGCCGCACTGGTCGGTGCCACATAACACGTGTATCATGCGTGAGCCTGCTTCCAAAAGCAAGGGGGATTTTCAGTTCAAAATTCTATCCAGGGATCACCCGATCTGGCACCGCATGGCACGGGCGTCCAGTAGGGCCCCTTTTCCTGAGATTGTGACGATAGGTAGGAGGTTGCCAGGAGGGATAGCCCATGAGGAATTGGGCAGGATCGGCAGAGTGGAAAAGGACCCCAGGTTATTGAATAGGAAATAGGAAAGGAATAGAAAAAGGAACCGAGTGGGTGAGGCTCGTTAAATTGTTAAGAAGTTGCCAAGCAACAAGGAAAAGAAAAAACCCTAAATAGCCCCCTGTACAAGTTACCCAAATCCAAATCAACCCCTCTCTTTCTCCCTTCTCTATCCCAGAAAAAAAAGAAAAAACAACAACAAAAAAGCAACAACAATGCATGCATATATAAAGGGGTACCCAGTCAACTAAGCAGTGTGAGCCCTGCCAGTTTGGTTAACTGGTTGTGTCTGAAGAGGCAAGGAGGCTCTTAAAACCATGTGGGACCTTCCTACTAATTTCACTTAATGAAGCAAAAGGGAGCGGCCCAACTCCTTGCAATAACCAACTAAAGAATGAGAATATATATGTTTACATGTTGTCTGTTATGTGTGTTGTCTGTTAATACATATATGAAAATATGTATGTTTACATGTTGTCTGTTACGTGTGTTGTCTGTTCCTTCTGTCTCTGACAGACTGCCTTTCTTAAGTGCGCATAGTTTAAACTGCAAGCTTGCTTCAAAATTTAAATCTAAGGAAGCCATGCTGGACCTTATCAGTCCTAAATAAGACAAAATGAGAATGAAGGGTGCAAATGTTTGTTATTTGAGAGAGGCTCCGAAGAGTCTTTCTCCAAGTAGTTTAAGTGAGGAGGGTGATTTTAAGTCTAGTGGTAAATGATGTTTTGTTGTAACTTTTGAGCTTGTGAGTGTACATCCGTGTTCCAGTCTTTTGTTCCAGTATTTTGAAATGTGCTGTGAAAAAAACTAATGTTTCTGCTGCAAAAGCCTAGTTGAGCCAACTGCTCTCTCAAGCTAAAATGCAGTGTATGTATTTCATTAAGCATATGCCTATGAAGGTATGGTGTTCTTTCTGAGAAAAATTGATATTAAATGTAGAGGCTTCAATGGCCAGCAAAATTGTCTATCTGAGTCCAGTCCTGATATCAGTCTCTATAAGACTTCCTGGCCTCTTTCCTTAGAAAATGCCCCCCTTGTTTCATTCTGTCTCTTTCAGTTTTTTCTCCCTCCTTACTTCTGTGCCAGGTAAATTTACTCCCGAGTAAGCTTCCTTTAAAGGAAACTGCAAATAGGGGGGAGCAATCTTTCCTAAGGTACCCTGCATCTCACTTTCCTAAAAAATAATAATCTAAATTAGGCTTACTATTCCTCTGCAAGTTCAAGAAAAATTGTTCACTTTTGTATTCCTTTTAAATCAAATCTATGGCTGTTTTAACTATACTTGCACTCTTTAGTCTAAGGAAGAAACTCATTATAAAGTTGGGTACTTTTATTTTCCTATGTGTGTGTCTCTTTGGTAGTACAAATCTTGCTGTGAAACCTTGCTGTGAACCCTATATTTCGGAGGGTTGGACTAGATGACCCCAGGGTCCCTTTCAACTCTCCCAATTTGTGGCTGATGAGTTGAAATTCAGCCCAGATTTGCTCTTTGTTTTTAAAAGGTGAGGGGTGAAAGCCGTGATGTTTTGAAGCACAACTGGTGATATCAAGCATTTGAGTGATTACAGTATTTATCATTTTGTCTATTATTTACAAAAAATCAAACTTAAAAGTCTATTCAAAGATTAAGCACATAAAAATTCATATAGTCAAGTAGAATGAGCCTTAACCATCCATCCTGTAAATAAAGGACAGAAAAATTTGTCTGCAAATGGTGAGGCTGAATGACTGAGAATATTTACAAAATAATAATAATAATAATAATAATAATAATAATAATAATAATAAATCCTATGAATTCTGACTCTCTGGCATTTTCCCCATATATAAGGGCGTGGCATTGTTCCGCGAATAGCCAGAGGGATATTAGCCCTTTCCTGTACATAAAGGAAGCAGTCCTTTGCTTGGGCTGCAATTGCTAGCTTTGGTGAATACTTGAATTGCTGAGTTTCTCCTTTTTTGTTTTAAAATCTAACCCTATTTTTAAAATCTACTCCTTACCCTTCCCTTCCCTTATTCAAATTCTAATTTAGCCAAAAGATGCAACATTTTCAATAGTATAAAAGGTTTGCTGAGACATGAACTCTGCACATGCACAGAGGCTAGATCAGCTTAAAAGAGAGAGAGAGAGAGGAAGGAGGGGGGAGAGGAGGTTTGGAGAGTGTGCTGCGGGGAGAAACCTATTCAAATTTCCTTGTGTGGAACTTGGAACCATTGGGGGAGATCATCCTTGATGTGTCTTTTGCTCCAGGGGCTAATTAAGACAAAGGGGTTGGGTACTGGACCATCAAGGGTCAAGAGGTTGCCAGGTTTCAGGTCTTGACATGCCGATTTCTTTTCACAGGTAAATATCAAAGCACTCCCACTGTGAGTTCCTCTCTTGAGTAGTTTGCCTCCCCAAATGGGATTTAAATTTTATAACAGTTTTGTGTGTGTTTGTGTGTGTGTGTGTATGCCTATGCATTTTAGGAACAGCATTTCCTGACAGACTTCTCACATGAAATAATTTCCCCTTTTTACAGGATATGTGAACCCCATTAACAAAGTGTTCGTCCCTTCTTTTCTCCCACAGCACAAATGATAATGAGGGGATGCAAACAGTGATTTAAATACTCTATAAAAAGTAATTGCATTTGTATTTCTTTTGTCTTTCTTCCCTTAAAGCCAAACAGTCACTTTCTTTCTGTTCAGCAAAACAAGTCTGAATCCCTGCTATATTAGTTGATTTTCCTCTATCTCTGACACTTTTTTAGGTTACAAATAATCTGTTTTCATTTATTAATCAGTTTTTCATTGGGTTGTTAGAATGCCAAAACAGATTACTTCAGGTTACTTCAGGTTGTTGTTTTTTAAAAAAAATTGTGTGTCTTAGCATTTAATTATTTTTGGTTCCTCATAGGTCATTGTGTGTGTGTGTGTGTGTTTTTTTTTACTTTGGGGACATGTCCATCACATGTTGAAAGTCATTTTCATCAAGTTCTACTTATCAGATAGCACATGCTGAATTTGAAGCCTTTTTCCATTGTTTCCCCATTTTTTTAGTCCAGTAGTAATCTGTGGTTTTGATAAAATCTTTGTATTATTTAATAATAATTTTTTTCTGAATCTGATGTCTTTGTGTCAAGTTCGTTTTCATCTGAATGGTAATCTAATTTTTTGCTTTCTTTTTATTTTTTAAACTTTCTTGTATTTTTTTTTTAACAGTTCTCTTTCTCTACACGTGGAGTAATTTTTTATTTAATAATATGGAGAGAAAAAAACTAAATGAAGGAAAGCAAACAAACTTAGCAGATAATAACAGTAATTATATGGAAATGTGATAATAATATTAAAATGAGTAAAATGCTTAACATGTTAAGATTTTATTATTTGCAGCTAATAACTCAAGGAGATTTTCTTGGGGAGGGGGCTTTTGCTCCTTCCTTTTTCTAACTGTCTTTTAAGTGTCCCCCAAAAACCCTGCCCCTTACAGGATATCACTTCTACAGATGTGCGATGATGAAAAGGCAGCAACAACCCCTCAACTCAGAGTTCTTCACCATCACAAGACCTGCAATAAAGTGCCCACAGCTATCTCTTTCAAAGGATACAGACTGATGGGGGAGTGGGGCTGACAAAGGGGGGAGGAGTTGAATTGCGAGGACATTTTTTCACTTGAACCTCAAGCCTCTGTGCTCCAGGGATTCAAAGATACATGCGTAAAAGATCACAATTGTGTCAATAGAGCCTGCAATAATGAAAAAACCCCATAGAAAGACCAAGGCGAAGACATATCTCTCATGATGTGTCCAAGCCTGTGCCAGCTATGGTGAGTGCCAGGCGACATGGTTAAATGAAAGCCCTGAGGGGATTCAAAAGGATGTGTTACTGTACCACTATGCCGGTGTGAGACCACAGAAGAGCTAGCTTGGCACCTGAAAACACAAAAACGGTGGGGCTAAAAAAAAAGCAAACTGCATTTTTTTTTCCAGTCAGTAGTGGACCTTCCTGCTAAATGTAAAGCATACACCACTATTGAAAATGTTTCTCCCAAGAGCTAGGGTGCCACAAGAAATTTAGTAACAAAATACAACAGATGTTTTTATATAATACCCTATATGCAGCTACCTGCACTGCTATACTTGCAAATGACCGTAAGAGGCATGGCTTGCAAGTCCCTTTCAGCTTTGCATAAACCCACACATCTGGTACGGTAGATACCAGGTTATTATTTAGCGCATATATATAACACGCATGTACATTGTATTCGTCCGTGCCTATTCCCACCCACAGGGCACCCCTACATTCACCAAGATTTAGGGTGCGGAGAAAAGATTTGCAAGTTCTTACAGAACTTTAATGCAAATCTATCTCCGAATGGGGGACTGTTACGGAAGGGGGGGGGCATGTCTTCTTCACTACAAATATTTGCTCAATTTCTCTAGGACTCCATCACCCCTCCCCTGTCCTCCATAATCTCTCAAGTAAGGTGTCTGCCAAACCTTTCCTCCGGGCAATGCCAGGTGACAGACTACGCATACATGAACCATTGTCTTCTCAGGATGTGCTTATCTGCGCATATCTCCAGCTCTGCATATTCCCCCCTCCCTCCTCCATATCTCCAGCTCTCTGCATATTCCCCCCTCCTTCCTCCATATGTTAATCCAGTGTAACCCAACCTCTCCTTAATGTATTCATGATGTAATCTGTGTAACCCAACCTTTCCTTAATGTATTCATGATGTAACTGGGATGTATTTTGCACTGTATTCTGGGACATGGAGGGAGTTTCAAAAGTTCATGCCATCCCTTTCTCGCTGTTCAATCTCGCCTTGAACCTGTTGCGCAATAAACTTGGATCTTCTGTAGTTTGCTCCTGTCTGGCTGAGGTCATTTTCTTCCGCAGGGACCCGCGGACACTTAGTCCGACGAGCTGGGTGGCAGAGTAGCCCCGCACCCAGATTTAGCCGTAACACTGCCCCATAATTTTGGGAAATTTTAGATGAAACCTGAGGATTTCAGCTTTCATTTTTAAAGTAAATGTGTAATACACAACCCCTGGCCTCACCCTAGTGTTCGGTTGCATTTTGTGTTACTAGCAAACTGACTGCTTCTGACTGTGACAGATCACACCCACAGGCAGAAATGACAATGTGTGCGTGTGTGTAACACACTGATGGCTCCAACTGGCCCAGAACAGTTTTTTAGGCTTGAGCACAAAAGTTTAAGCCCACATGCCCCAACCCATGGATTCAGTTGTCTCGACACAAATGCAGAGAGTATGGGAAACAAACAAGATGAAATGGAGCTTTTAATTCAGGATGGCAAATATGGCCTGCTAGGTATTACTGAAACCTGATGGGATGAGACTCGTGACTGGAATGTAGGAACTGAGGGGTAGAACCAGTTCAAAAGGAACAGACCAAGCAGGGAGGAAGAGTCCCCACCCCAGTCTTAGGAGGAAATGCACAGCATCGAAAGTGCTGAGGCAATAGGACTGTGTCTGGTTGTCCCCAGCTCCGCATTTCCATGTCTTAGACAAAGTGTTTTCCATCTAACACACATCGCCTGAAGTATGGAATCTAAACCCTTCCAGCTCTTGAAAATAGGACCGAACCTATGCATTTTTGACTACGGGCACAGGCACCTGTAGATGTTATGACCACCATACAACTAGACATAGGCCAGGAAAAGGCTATAGATGTCTCACCATGTGTTGTGTTTACTCACACACTAGCCCCAAATCTATTTAAAGCAATTTTGACTTTTATTATTTAAAAAATACCTTGTTAGTAGCATCAAGGCAGCTGATTTTTTCCAGCAGTTCTACATTATTTAGTTCAGATGCTTGTTTGCCTTGTGATAAGTTGTTTGGAGTCAGTTGCTGCTGGTCTTCAAACAAATACTGAAAAGGGTGAGAAAAAAGGGACATTTGCTCAGATAAGGTTCCTTTTGCAGTTGGCTTCCATTGTTATATAGCTCAGCAGGGAAATGGGCTGGTAAATGAAGGAGATTCACAGTGATTTGCTGGCCTTGGGACAATTTAACTCTTCCAATTCCACAGCTTTCAAGTTCCCTGACATTTCCATTTTCTACCCAAATATCTAATTTTCCATCAGTTACTAATTAAACTATCACTAATCATCCCCTTCCCCTGCGATTCTCAATTCCATTTCTTGCTATTCATTCCTCATTCTTCCTCATTGTTCTAGCAAAACTAACCAGAACTCAAGTTACTTTGTTTCTGAAAGCTGTATTGGAGCTAATATGTCTAGTACAAGAAGTCTGTGTGAGTTTATTATTAAAATATTTCCTGCTGCCTTTCTGACACACAAAGACATTCAAGGCAGCTCCAAAATATTTGTTCTCTGTTGCACAATTTCCCCTCATACTCCTTTAAGTCACTAAGCAAGGAGTCTGATTCATGTTCATCAGCACAAAGTTGCCTCAGCTCCATGACTTCCTACTCAGGTAATCTGTAGTCTTTATCACTTTCCCCATGTGCCTTGAAAGTCTGTACTGCAACCAGGCTCAGACTCACCGCTGAGCTTCAGGATCCAGAGGTGTCTCGTGAAATCACTGCCCAGGGACCTGTACCTTAAATAGCCCCACTCTGTGCTGCCCCTGAGTTGTGGAGTAAAAATATTTCATAACCCTTTTGCTTCATCTGAGTGCCCTCCCAAATGCCATTAAAGGTCTGATGGAATATCCTCTCTAGAGTGAACAGATTTAGATTCTGATATCTGAATCTGTCACAGTGACATCAAACAAACATTTCCTGGGGAAAACCTGAATGGCTCCATCTTTCCCAGAGCACAGCCTTTTCTGAGTGAGGGCAACACACTACTGCTGACAGCTCTACTCAGACGTTTCTTGTCACAGCCTTACTAAGCTGCGTCCAAATTAATGAGTTGTTGTTTTATAGGGAAGACCAGGATCTTTTTCTGCTGCAAGCTGCTGATCACTCCTCTGCAGGTAAAAAAACCGTGTATTCCTAATAAAGTACCGTATTTTTCGCTCTATAAGACGCACCAGACCACAAGACGCACCTAGTTTTTGGAGGAGGAAAACAAGAAAAAAAATATTCTGAATCTCAGAAGCCAGAACAGCAAGAGGGATCGCTGCGCAGTGAAAGCAGCTATCCCTCTTGCTGTTCTGGCTTCTGGGATAGCTGCGCAGCCTGCATTCGCTCCATAAGACGCACACACATTTCCCCTTACTTTTTAGGAGTGGAAAAGTGAGTCTTATAGAGCAAAAAATACGGTATGTCTAAAACAACAATGCTACTAATGTCCCACATGCTCCAAAGCTGCACACACTTGCAGAAAAGTTGTGTACTGCATTAAGCTGCTTGGAAAGTATTCTGTGTCACAGTAACAAAGAACAGAGAATGAATTCCAAGAGTTTTTCCTTGCTAGTGTTTCAAGGGGATGGTGGTATAATACGGCTCTTCTATCATTGCTTGTTACTTTATTGCCACTAAAATTACTGTTTTCATTATTTTGTAGTGCTTTTTCCTGTTTGACATTTCTTGGTGTTTTTAAGATGATTACTTTTATTTGTTAGTTTCAAATACTTGTACCCCACCATTCAGGACAATGGCATGACAAGGTGGCTTACCCATCACAATTAAAAAGCAATAGATTTAATCAGTAGGTTGAGTAAAATTAAGCAGCCACTAAAAACAGCAGGTCAACATAAAACCATTAAAAGAAAAGCTACATGAGACAAGTCATTGGGGCTCATTTAAGGGAACCCAAGAGGAGCTTGCTGATTATTTTGAGAGGAGTTTCAAAGATCTACAGCCACTCCTTGGAGTAAAAATATATGTATTATTCAATGTATGGTGGAATTTTAAAACCAAGCCACTTAGCTCCTCTGTTTTTACCAACTAGTTTATTCCATCCTGTCTCCAAAAAAACAGTCGTAATGTACCGCACCTAGTTCTCACTCCAACTCCGCTTTATTACCAAAAGAAGCCTGTGAGGCAGAGGTCCGGCTTAGGCAGGCTGCCCCAAAGTGAAGCTCAAGGCTCAGTACAGATTTGATTCTAGGTTTCCTCGGAGTTAATCTGACATTCTAGCCCTTGATGCTGGGAGGCATCATCACCTTGGCACCCTAAAACTGCATCAGTGTCTTACTTCAGATGTTAAGCACAGAATATAATATCTGGCTCAAGTACCAGATATCAAGTTTTCTAGCAGACATGTAACTTGGCCTGTTTCTGATTTTCCACGTACAGCTTTAAAGCAAGCCGTATCTGGATTAAAAAGGCCTCCTCTGTTGCAGTTTGACAATGAAAGCAACCCTGGCTGGTGACAGTATTTTGTTGCCCTCAAAGATAAGAGTGTGGGTTTGTAAATGATCAAAACAGAAAATTAAATCCATTATCTTCTTAAAATTAAACACGGGTTATTCTCTGGCACTTCAAACTCTTGCACACTCAGCTCTTATGTTCAGCATGCACTTTTAATATTTTTCTCAAATATGATTTTACTACAACTGATCTGACCTTTTCTCTTTAGCTTGTGAGACCCACCCCACGGGCACAATCCGATGCACACTTACCTGGGAGGAAATTCCATTGTACTTAATGGGACTTAATTCTGAGTAAACATGCATGGGATTGCCAGGTAGCCACTCAAGTTATGGGTCAAAAAGGCCACAAACCAGCTGAAGGCCAACAGATTTGGGGATCTTTTCAGTGCTACGACAATTGCAGTCTTGTCATACCTCTAGAAAAGGACCTACTTCTTTGCAATAGTGATAACCCCAAGGTTTAACAGAACAAGATTTTCTCAAGGTGTTACAAGCTCAATATAATCCTCAGCGGCTTCGGAGGCTCAGCTCTTAATGCGAAGCTTCCACGACTGTGTTTAAAAGCAGTTCCGTGAGCTTCCCCTAATCAAAGCTGGATGATAACTAGATGAAAATGTCATTGTCACCAATCATTGGTATGCATTTTTTTAAATTTTCTGCTGCTAGCTGAAATCAGCACTTATCACTGACGTGAATCCAATTCGGCTGACATGGATGTTCTTAAATTAAAGATGACAGAGGCACAATTTCTTAAATACGACCAGAAGTTGAACTTAATGAGATTTCAAATTCTAGCAAAGCCAAGAGAATCCAAGACTCCTTTGCATATGGTACCTAGAATGTTGGCGACTGCAGCTGACACAGTTCTAGGGGAGCTGCCATTAATTCAAGGTGACACACCAATTATTTAGAATATCTAAACTGCAGAAGTCTGTCTATAGGCAGCACAACCCCATATTAGATCCCATCTGTACAAGGTCACTAAGAGGAGAGAAAATTGTCACAATGCTGCCAGGTGTTTACAAGACCACCCCCTCCTCAATCCAAGCCTTTTAAGGGTTTCTCCTCCTTCAAAAATAATTTTGCCAACTTTGCAGTTTCACATTTTGTACTTAATTACATGGCAGCACAGAAAGCGGGATTTTGTTCTGCTGCCCTGATGCTCAACACATCCACTTGGGGGGAAAGCACTGCTTTGTTGCACAAAGTCCAATATACGTTTGGAATAAAATGCATTCTTAACGGGAAAACGAAAACAAGGATTTGTAGCCCTTTTACATGCGCGGCCAGCCGCTCCTTCGGAAACCTAAAAAGGAGCCGGCAGATCCGGAGGCTGCGGCATCCCCTGGCCGAGGGCCTCGCCGGATTCTCCTCCCCGCTCGGCTCCCTCCCGGCCCCCGACAGCAGCCCTTCCTTCCCCGCGGCGGCCCGGGAGGGCGCTACCTTCGGCCGCAGCGGGACGTAGTCGGCGCACAGCTCTTCCCACAGCTCGCGCAGCTGGGGCGCCTCGCTCGGAGCCCCGGCCGCCCCCTCGGGGCTTCTCCGCGCCGGCACCGGCAGCCGGCTCCCGCGGGGGCTGCGCACGGGCTTGCAGCCGAAGGCCTTCAGCAGGCTCAGCGCCGCCGCCAGGCCGCCGCCCGCGGGCCCCGACGCCAGCGACTCCAGCGAGGACGAGCCGGCTTCCTCGGCGCGCCTCCGCCCGTCCGCCTCCGCCGCCTCGTCGTCCAGGCTCCCTCCGTCGCCGGGGCGCTGGGGCTGCCCGGCGCTCTTCGGCGCCGCCCTCCGCGGCACCCGGCACACGGCCTCGTAGTCGGCGTCGGCCACGCGCAGCGCCGCGCAGCCCCGGCACCGTCGCGGGGCTCCGGGCGGCTGCTCGTCGGCGCGCGCCTCGCCCTCCGCCCAGCACTCGAGGCCCGAGAAAGCGAAGTCCTCCTGGAGCAGCGCCAGGTAGCGGGCGTCCCAAGCGCCGGCCCCGCCGCCCGGCTGGCCCTCCGGCGGGGCCTCGGGGGCGCCGTTGGTCCTCCGGTAGAGGGCGGCCAGGCACAGCTTGAGGCGCTCCTTCTCCAGCAGCAGCCGCTGCAGGCGCTCCAGCGACAGCGCCTCGACGCGCGCGATGACCGTGTCGAAGCGGTAGACGCGCTCGAGCAGGAAGGCGCACTTGCCGCAGGCGAACTCGGCGCGCCCGTCGCGGGACACCTCGCGCCCCGTCGCGTGCGCCAGGAGCACCTGCAGGCTGGGCCGGGAGGGCGGCGGCGCGGGAGACGGCGGCGCCCCCGACGCCCCGTGGAAGAGCCAGCGCCGGTGGGTGCCGCACAGCGCCCGCCCGCACACGCGGCACCACTCCGAGCGCATCCCCAGCGCGGCCCCGAGCAGCCGCCCGCCGCCCGCCAAGAGATGCTCCGGCCGCGCCCGGTCCCCCGGCAAGATGGCGGCCGGCCCGCGGAGGCTTCTGGGAGTCGTAGTCCCCCGCCCCGCCCCGCCCCGCCAGCCCCCGGAGCTCTCCCCGAGGGGAAGGGGCCCCAGCACCCGGCGATGCAGGCAAAAGCCTCCAGGGAAGGAGGGAGCGAGCTTTTCCCTCCCACTCTGGAGGGCAGGACTTGAACCAATGGGCTCAGGTCAGCATTAGAAAGAACTTTCTGACGGGAAGAGCTGTTCCGCCGGGGAACGGTCTCCCTCTAGAAATTGTGGACTGGCCTTTCTTGGAGGTTTTTAAGCAGAGCTTGGATGGCCATCTGCCCCGGATGCTTCATTGCGGGGGTTGGACTAGATGACCGCTGAGGGTCCCTTCCAGCTCTACAGTTCTATGATTACGCCATCTAAAATGAACTTTCATGCATAGAACACAGTGACGTACTAAAAACCAGAAAAATAAAGTTTTAGGCAAACCTTAAACGTACAGTCACATCAGATATGCAAATTCAGATGCTTTGAGCTTGCATTATGATGTGAAAGGGAAGAATTATGTATCTGTGAGTAATGCAATTGACAGAGCAGTGATGATGACACCGACTCAGTTTGCAGATAAAGCTAAGCCAAAGCATAGTATGAACTCACAGTCCTCATAGACTGGCATCACTGAACTCCTCCCTCAGCTCTCCTGCTGCCATGCTTAAACCATTACCCAGTTTAGGGTGCTGTCTGAAGCTGATCTCCTGGTTTTTGGGGGCAAACCACATGCCCAGGTTTGGATGGCACACTTAGCCAAACCACAGTGCAGCAGCAGGAGGACCAATAATATTAATTCATTATTTCTATGCCGCCCATCTGACCAGGTTGCCCCAGCCACTCTGGGCAGCTCCCATCAAAAAATTGTAAAAGCACAATACCACATCACACACTAAAAACTTCCCTTCAGATGTCTTTTAAAAATCACATAGCCACTTATCTGTTTGACATCTGCTGGCAGGGCATTCCACAGGGCGGGTGCCACCACCGAAAAGGCCCTCTGCCTGGTTCCCAAGGGAGGAGTACAGCTGCCAGGAATGTACCTGCTTGTGTTTCCCCCACTAAACAATAGTTTGGCTCAGCATTACATGTGAACTAAGCCATTGGCAATGTATGTTTGATTCCGCTAAACCATAGGAACACAAATCCCACATTAAATTAGTGCCTATGGAAAGAGGGTCATGGCCTTTCCAATAAATGAGCCACCTTTAATACACAGGATAAAAAGCCATTAAGCTTTAGGAACAAAGAAAGGAGGAGTACACTGGCTCTAACACATATATAAATAACAAAGGAGAAGTAAGACAATTATTCTGCCATGAAATTATTACTGGAATGCTGCATTTAATTCTGTGACTCACATAATTTTTTTGAAAGTTATTTGAAGACCAAAACATTTTTTATACTTTTAAAAGAGACTTAGACTGGAACCTAAGGCAAATAATTGGCTTTCTTCCACCACAAGGAGAACAAACACAGTTTCCTTCCACGTTAGCTATTTTCTCTGGAATCACCTTCCTTTGAATACTCACCTTGATGGAGAATCCAGAGGACATTGTCAGATAACTGCAGTTGACTGTTGTTGTTTTGTTAAAAAGTTAAAGGACCCCTGACAGTTAAGTCCAGTCACAGATGACCCTGGGGTTGCGGAGCTCATTTCACTTTACAGGCTGAGGGAGCCGAAGTTTGTCCACAGACAGGTATCCAGGTCATGTGGCCAGCTTGACCAAGCCGCTTCTGGTGCAACGGAATACCAAAACCAGAGCAGAACATGGAAACGCCATTTACCTTCCCGCCGGAGTGGTACCGATTTATCTGCTTGCACTTTTTGGCGTGCTTTCGAACTGCTAGGTTGGGAGGAGCTGGGACAGAGCAATGGGAGCTCACCCCATCGCTGGGATTCGAACTGCCAACCTTCTGATCGGCAAGCCCAAGAGGCTAAGTGGTTTAGACCATAGCGCCACCCGCGTCCCTGTTTTATTTTGTAGGGACTACAAATTGCTCAAATGCAGTATTTTGTATGTAGAGAAATGCAGTTGTTTCCCCACTCCCCCATTATTTCCTCCTGTGATTTCAGTGCAGGATGAGCAGCTACTAGCTATTGCCTGATATTATAAGTAATTAGTAACAGAACTCCCTGGTCTTCCCATGTCACTGGACCATTTTATTAAGTACATTTGCAGCTCCATGCTTCAGGGGGCGATATTGCCTCAGTCCTGCTAACAGTCATCCAGGAATACACACATGTACAAAGAGAGAGAGAGGAATGCCGCATAACAGCAAAGGCACCTTCTCACTCCTGGCAGCTTTGGGGCTTTTTATCTCTTTCTTTGTCTACTGGTGGGCTTAGGTGGAACCATGCTGCTCCTCTGCCTGCATTCGCTGAAGCAGAAGCTTGCCTCTTTCAATTGACACTGCACATTAATGCCTCTGTAACAAGGGCTGTCGGCTCATCTGCTATGTGAGGACAGAATGGTCTTTCTATTTGGACTGCGGGGGGGGGGGTACTCAAAGTGTAATGTGTAGGTGAAAAGGCCCATGGTACTTGTGAGGCTTGTTTCATTTTCAAAGCATGTCTGCTTTACTCTGTATTAGCAAAAATAATAATATTTGGAAGGTATCTGGGATCTTTGGGGGGATTCTGTTACAGGTCCAATGATGCTTGAGGATTAGATTGGGACTGAAGGGGTTCTTGTTCATGCAAGGAGGCCACGTTGCCAATATCTGCACAGGTGGGAAGAGGCAAAGGGAGGCAGCTTCCTGAAAACAATGATTCGTGGCCTCTGAAGACCAGCGTCAACACTTCCCAGGCAGAGGGACACATCTTGTGTGGCTGGAGAAGGGACCACAAGGAATATATACCCAACAGCAGTATACATTTCCTGCTCTTCTCCAGCTTCCTTTCTAAGTTAATCTTCCCAATCCACTAATTCAGTGCCACATTGATTGACAGCAGGCCTTTTGGGCAGGCAGGATGCAAAAGAACCATTAGAAAAACAGTGCTCGCACTGGAGAAACTTCAGCTGCATTGTTACCTGCACTTTCATTTCCTCATGCTCCTGCAAACGTTGCAACAGGTTCTGCTTCTCTGTGGAGAGCTGCTCAAGGAGCTGCTCCTTGTCCCTCAGATTCCAAGCCAGCTCCTCAATCGTCCTGCAGAGGAAAAACATTCTGGTCACCATGGCTGGAAGCAAGGAACACTGCGAGATACAGAGATACAGGGCAGGATGGCCATTTGGCACGACTGTGGGCAGTTAGACCAGGTCAGGACATCACGGAGGTGAATACAATGAGCTACGGATGGCTATGTCAGCCTGTCAGTCAGAGGAGCACCTCCTCCACCAACAAAGCACAAAACCAAACAAGCCAGGAGACTTCCAGCAGCAAGGCCTCAAGTTCACCCCTGCCCCCAAAAGAGAGATGCAAAGTTTGATCCTGAGCAGATTCCAGCATACAGTTAGAATAAAAAATTAAACACATTGCAAGATTCCCCAAAAATAGACCAGAGGCAATTTTATTTCATCCAGCAGAGCTTTACTGCTACTGAAGGCAAATGAGCATAATGGTCAAATCTATACATTTAGGATTGGCAGCAGACTTAACTTAACTTAAAGTTACAAATAATAAGACTAAACCTTAACACTAAGCATACTGTGTACAGAACACCACACCAGAAAGAAAGAAAGAAAAGAGAGCAAATCCAGGCTCCTTCTGGCCTATTATTATAGTCAGCATGACCTTGAGAGAAAGAGATAACAGGACCGCTTTTAAGCCAGCTGTACTCAGCTTCTCTGAAGTGATAACTAAATATAATGAACCTTCTGCTTGTTTCTTTCATACAAAGAAGCTTCCAGAACCCTCTTGAATTAATTAAAATAGGAAAGATCTCTACCTTCTGCACTAAGAAATGCAAACTGACACAACTTTGGGGAAAATAAAAAAACCTATCCCCCAAATTTCTCAGAAGATTTAACATTATGGGTGGCAGACACAAACCGAATCAGTGGAACTAATCGCATAGAAACATACTTATTTTTCTCAGCCAACATAGCACTGTAGGTTTCCAAAACAGCCTGGCTTTTCCTGGTCTCATCCTGCAGCTTGCTGAACTTCATCAGCTCCTTGGTGAGTTTCAGACAGCGATCCTTTTCAACCTCTGCCATAGTTGTCATCCTCTCTGCTTTGGTCTTTGCCGACTGGGCTTCCTAAAGGAAGAATCAGAGATGAAATCAGCCAAAGGAATCCTGAAAGAGCAGGTGCCTCCAGTTTGGATGTCTCCTGTTGTGTCCAAACCAAAGAGAAATTAGTCTTTCTCTTCAGAAGAAATCAGGAGGAGGCCAGCAGAAGACTGTGATGGATATTTACATGAGCCCTGTAAAAGTTTCCCCAAGTGTCACCTGAAAACTGCTCTAGAGGAGGCACCTGGTATTTTCATCCTACTTGGCAGGCCACAAATGTCTTGGGAAGGCTCACAGGCAGGATGGGTGGCTCTGAGAGGGGCTTGGACTCACTAAAGTCATTCTCTCACTTGACACTGAGAATGAACGCATTGGTGAAATCTACAGTCAACATTCAATATGGAGACCCCTTCACCCCACCTAAATCAACTTGGATATACATCGCTTCCTCTGTTTTGCACCTACAGATTCTAACTCTGATACAGAGTCTGCATCCATCACAAATGGTGACCAGGAGCGGTCAGAGTTCACATGTACACCATTCTCTAGCCGTAAGTACATTGAAGTAATGGTTTTCATTAAGCTCCTAGGCTGCAAGCATATTTACTCCAGAAAACAAATATTCCTCATCATTTAACTGAATTAGGGTTAGATAGCAAGTTCCATGACAATGCAGGGCCACTCCTTAGGTTACGTAGCTATTCCGTTTGAGAGGGGATCCTGATGAGATCAGGCTCTTCCAGCATGTGGAGGATTCTACACACATCTCTTGATGCGTTCAATGCACCTTTTTGATGCACTTGGGACGGGCAGCCAGAGATGGCACTTACGCATGCAGCCCCTCATGTGCTATTTAAACATGGAGGGGGCATATAAACTCAAATCTCACACCTGAATAAACTGATACCCAACACTAGAACTGAACTTCCTCATTTCCCAACTGTCTTTTTCCAGGATAGTTACCCTCAGTGAGGCTTTGTAAAATGCTGTCCAAGAGCTTAGCTTGCTCTACATGCTAATTATCTTTAAACAGACTTGAGTGGCTAATCTAAACAGAGCTCATTATAAGATTTAAGCTTTTGGAATTTTTTTATTGAATTATTATGCAAATACAAATGAAACAAAGAATACAAACATTTCTACTGAATACACAAAGAAAGAAAAGAAAAACAAAACAAACGCAAACGCAAACGCAAACAAAACGTAAAAAACCCAAGTATAATATAGCATAACTGTAACAGTCATTCCAGAATGTCATTTCTTTACCTGAATACTGACCCTTCTGGGGTGAATCTATTTCTATTATACTTTTTGTGTTTGCAGGATCTCATGATTGTGCCCTACTAAAATGGTCAGCAAAACACACACACATAAATCCCTGTAAGGGAATTTCCTCACCTCCTGCAGAAGGTGGATTTTCTTCTCCAGGATCTCATAGGCATGTTCATTCTGTTGCTGGTGAGAGATCTTAGCCTCATTCTGACTACCCAGGTTCCCAGCTGCTGCCCTGAAATTCATAGCACTAGTTGGCAAGATAGAAAAAAAACACCCCTGGTACATGGCAGAAGGAATACTAACAAGAAAAGGAGGAGTCATGGCTCTGTGGAGACTGACTGCTTTGCCTGCAGAAAGACCAAGGTTCAGATCCTCACTGGCACCTTTCGTGAAATGGGTGCCATGCAGCAGGGCTGGAAGTGGCCTCTGCCTGAGAACCTAGAGAGCAACCAGCAGGCAGAGCAGAGACAACACGAGGCTTGATGGACAAGCCCAGCCCAAGGGAACTTGGTGCGCTCAAAGCGAGAGATCAAAGTGACGAGGGACAAACGTTTTTGCACATACTTAAAACTCCTTAGGCCAGGGTTGAGGAACCTGTCAATTTGGGGTTATAGCCCAATCCTAACCACAGATACACAGAAGAAAATTACATTTATTTCACTGAGTTTTACTTCCATGCAAACCTAACACAAGCTTACTCAGAGTAGGATCCATCCACCAAGCTCAATGCAGCAATGTCACCAAAAGTTGTAGCAGCATAGTTTGGAACACAAGCGTTCCTCGTACATTAATGCTTGGAAGAAATCAAACATGAGTCCACTTTAAAGTATGACTAAATCTGGATCCAACCCAAAGTTCTTCTGCAGCTTGGTAAAAGAAAATGTGCTTTTGAACAGAAAGTGCATTTATCTTAGACCTATTTAGTCAAACTCCAGGGCACCAATGCCAACTCAAACAGAGCAGAGCAACACCCAGAAAGCATGTTTTTAGGGTTCAGTTGCTCCCTCTGCTCCCCAGCCCTGTGAAAAGAGAAGCAATGGAGTCCCAGAGCCTGCTTGTTTCACCCAGTGACATAATCAAAGGCTTTCATCCTAGTGACTGCAAACTGTCCCCAGAGACTGGACGAGAGAACTTAAGAAATGAATATACATGTCTCATTGTACCTTACAAGATTTGTATTTTCCCTATGGATCCCCCTCTAGGAATAAACCACAACGTAAGTTGTTGACTATGCTTGTCTGTTGTGTATATGTCAACGATAGTAAGAAATGCATTTAAAATGAAAATTGTCCCCAGAGCTTATGTCTTATTGACCTCTTTAAAAACAAAGGGTGGAATTCAATGTTGCACTAAGGCTGCTTACCAGGAGGGGGAAAGATTTACCCTCTTCTCCCCGCAAAGCTGATTTGGGGGGAGGGGGCAAGGGGGAGCAGAGCAGGGAAGCCCTGCCATGCTAACACAACTATTTAGTTGAACCCAGTCCAAAGAAACCTTCTCCCAGTTGCCTTGGGATTCAATAGAAATGGCAACATTCTGAATACCTGAGGCATCTGACTCTGTTTAGCTCTACATGAGCAATAACAGGCATCTTGGGACTCAGTTACATTAGTAAAGAAACAGCCATTTGAATGTGCTATAAACATGCAACACCAGTTGGCACCAGAGAGCAGGAAATTTTAAAACACAATTTTCCATAGAGATTTTTTTCTTTTGTTGAAACGTTCTGATTTCTGACTTTTTAATAGCATTTTCACCCCCATGTTTAGATCCACCCTTAGTGACAAAGCAAGAAACTTGGTTTGCATGCTAAATTAAAGAAAATCCAGATCTGGATTTTCTTTTCAATGGGAACTCACCAAGGATTGTGACCTTGGTGTAGTGCAGGAGATAAACAGAAGGGCCCAGTAAACTCTCTTTGTGTACATGCACAAATACACACACAGACACACACACACAAACACACACATGTGTGTGAACCGGGCTCTGCAGATCCATCTGTACCACCTCTTACCGGGCTTGGTCCAAGCTTTGTTGCTTCTCCTGGAGCTCTTGCTTCAGGCTTTCCACTTCCACCTTCAGCTCGATGTTCTGAAAGGTACAAACAGGCATGGAGGATCATCATCTGCTCCGCTGTGGATCTCTCCTTCTGCACCAGTATCCCAGTCTTGAAGCAGGTCTGTCTCCTTTTGACTTCAAATACTGAGGTACCTGGTAGCAGCACACAAAGAGCTTCCCTTTTTTGAAGACATGGTGAAATATAAACATAGAGAAATCTCCACAAACTATTGCAATTGCAATACTCCGGTGCTCTATCAGGAGCCTAACTGGGTGGGCCATGTTGTTGTTGTTGTTGTTGTTGTTGTTGTTGTTGTTGTTGTTGTTGTTGTTGTTGATACACCAAAAAAGGAAAAACGGTTTTAAAGAAGAGAAGCTGCATGATCTATCTGGCTTGGGGGCGGGGGGCGGAATCTAGATTCCTATTTGAATTAAAAGGACTACCCCTTTTATTTTTATTTTTACTGTCAACAGAATCAACAACATGCCTCCGCCTCTGGTCCAATAAAGAAAGCTTTGGCTAAGCAGGAGTGGATTATTGTGCTCCATTAAGTCCCAGTACTCAAAATAAATTCCTGAGTTTCCAAGTAAAAACAACAAAGAGTCCTATTTGGCATGTTAAAGACTAACAAATTTATGATGGCAGAAATGTTCATGGACTTGAGCCCACTCTTAGTTTGCAAAAATATAAAGGAGATTATAAAGTACAGATAGACACACACACACGGCCGGATTTACGTTTGATGAGGCCCTAAGCTACTGAAGGTCATGGGGCCCTTTATATGTCCAGCTGTCCTTTGTCAACAACAAATTGTTGCTGTTTTTTGTGTTGAATATATGCTATATGGTAATATATGGACCTAATAGGTATCTAAAGCCATTTGCACATAACATATAGGAGCCTACACAACACAAAACACGGTTGCTGTATGTAGGTTTTATTTTATTTGTTTTTTATCTTATATTTTGGAAATGTACATCCAGGTTTTTTTTCCTTTAAATTTTTTGGTGGCCCCCAAGAGAGTGGGGCCCTAAACTATAGCTTGTTTAGTTTATACATAAATCCAGCACTGCACACACACACACACACACACACACACACACAGTGCATACCAACAAGGTCGTGGAGCCCAGCCTATTGCCAAGACAGGAAAGTCACCCCTCAAGACATCCCTGAGAGTTGGCCATGCAGCCTCTGCTTATAAAATCCCTAACTAAGAAAAAATCCACCAATAACCAGCGCCCAAGAAGAGGAGATTGGCAGCTGGCCAGTAGTGAGATTTTCTGAATCCAGGGAGGGGTTCTAGAGGTTGCCCCCTGGATACATCCTGACAAAGAGCACATGACTGCTTCATCCCATGCTCAACCCAACATGGGTCCCTGCCACCTCTCCATTCACCATGTCGCTGTGGTCACATAAAATTGCTCTTTGTGCAAATATGGCATGAAGACAGGCGGCTCCACTGGAGGTTCCAGCTGTCAAGCAGGTAAAGCACCAGCACAACTGCCCACAAATCCCCACACAAGCTGCTCCATGAAACTCCGCGTCACTTGCCACTTTTGTATTCCCCTCGTGCCAATTTAAGCCAAGGAGCAGAAGTTGTATTATTCAGTAGCCTGTGAATAGCATGGCCAGAAGCCAGCAGACCCATGTGACGCTTGCCTCTCCTGGAACAGAATGTCCCGACTTCAGTTGCCTGCTTTAGAGGACACAGATCACCTGCTTCGGACAGAGAATCTGAGCTGCCCATCCACAACTGGATCCCTCGCCCACATGCTCAACAGCCATCTTCTGACTTGTCTGGTGCCCTCAGGTTCAACCCACACTTGTTTCCTGCCTGCTCATTGATGACCCACAGCCCAACCAATAATAATACAGTGGTACCTCAGGTTAAGTACTTAATTTATTCCGGAGGTCCGTTCTTAACCTGAAACTGTTCTTAACCTGAAGCACCACTTTAGCTAATGGGGCCTCCTGCTGCCGCCGCGCTGCTGGAGCCTGATTTCTGTTCTTATCCTGAAGCAAAGTTCTTAACCTGAAGCACTATTTCTGGGTTAGTGGAGTGTGTAACCTGAAGCGTATGTAACCTGAGGTACCATTGTACGGCCACTTTTGCTCATTTATTCCATTGTTCTTTGTACTTCTTTTGTGCCAATTTCTTTTTACTGGCTGCATTTCTCTTTCTCTGTGGATTTTCATGTGAACCAGTGATGTGCAATTGTTACTATATTACCACAGGAATAGTTCCAATCTTGCAGAATCAATCTGGTGCCCTTTACCCCCACCTTCCTTGACTTTTAACTTCAAAGAGCTGGAATCTATAGGAATGAAGTTTTATCCTCCATTTTACTTTCCTGATGGTCATATTTTGCATGTTTTGTGGACGCTGCTTCTTGTTGTGTTCACCTGCACTTGTGCCTTCCTCCCAAACCTTCGTATATCATTTTTTTGGTGGAGGAATTAAATTTGCGGCTGTGGTAGGAACATGATTGTGGTGGTATATTAATCCCAACACATGCCAAGGAGCCTTTTGCCCCAATAAATCTTGGTGGGGCTTCTCACCCCACCCCAACCGCTGGGGATCTAACCATGTCTTTCTTTTCCATCAACTTAAATTGAGATAAAGAGCCTGGTTCCCCCAAAATGGCAAGGCGGAGTAAAAGGGTCCTTGGTAGACAGAATATTTCTCCCAAAGGTCATTTCTGGGGAATTAGCCAGTCAATGGGGAGATCACACTCTTTATTAACTTGCATGATTAGTCTGCGCAGACGTGGAGGAGCACATGCAGGTAAATGATTTTTTTTTTAAGTGACCTTTCAGGCACCACCCACTTGATTTTGTGTGCATTATTTAAGACCCTGACACTTTTCATTGCATATTGCAGTGGCATGCAACAGTGTTACAAACAGGGGAGACACAGGGTGCATCCACACAAATCTTTTGTCCTGGGCTTTCTAGACAAAGGCCCACACTTTCTCAGTCCATTTCCAAGCGCTTTTTTTGTCCTCCACTGTTTTCCCCAGGAAAACCTGTTCTTTACTGCTGAATCAGAGCAAACAGCCATGGGAGTTTTTCCATGGGTTGCCATTTGCTCTGATTCAGCAATAAAGAGTGGTTTTTGTGGGGAAAGCACGGCGGGGGGGGGGGAGGTGCTTGGACACAGAGCTTTACAGCCTGGACCTGTTCCTAGAAACATGGCACAAAAGGAAGCCCAGGCATGTTCTGCTGCGTGTGTCCTATGAGCAGCAGTTGCGTTGGCAAAAAATGCCAGTCCAGCAATGCACCACAAATAAAGGGGACTTCTGTGTGGATGGCACCTGGGTTAGGAAGCTGATGGCTCAAAGGTCACCTTTCCAGCCATTACTAGTTTCCCTATATGGTTTGCTCTACTCTCCTAGTGCCACGGCCTCCATTTTTCCAGTCAGAGAGAAAGTTGGGAGTGCTTTTCAAGCAACTGCAATTTACTTTCTCCAGCAATGTTCCCTGGCTGGCATAAACAGCTGCCTGGGGCTTGGCATCAGCTCTCGAAAGCCAGGAGATCTAAACCGAGCAGAATGCTGCGTCCAATATTTGTCCAATATTTAGGGCACCTCTCTAGTTTGCTAGATGTGCCACTCCTTACTGACTGAACTGTTTCCCAGTTTGTGATGTGAGTTTGTGACGGGTCTGGTACAGCAAGGGAGCAGTTGGCAAATGTTTGACAAACTAAAATTGGCACATCAGGTTCTCCCCTCTCTTTTCCTGCTGCAAAGCCACCCTGTCTGATAAGGCCCTGCCAGTTCTGCTGCCTCACTTGTTCTCCCTCCCACAGCAAGAAGCAGAACAAACCTCGCAATCATTTCCCCCAGTAACCAGGCTATTTATAACTTTCCTCTCTGAGAAGAAGCTATTAGCTGGCAGTTCTGCAACATGTCAGCTGCCTGCACTTGCTTTTCACAATTTTGAGGGCACCTGTCAACACCAGGGTGACATTTCTCTTGCAGTGCACTGACTGTAAACCTTTTAGCTCCAAGTTCTTAGTATGAATGTGTTTGTACAAAGTCAGAAGATGGGTCCATCAAGCCTAGTATTTTCTGCTCTGGTTGGTGGTAGCTCATGAGCACCTCGGGTCTCTTCCAGACTCTCCCCCTGAGATTGTTCTAACTAGAGATGATGGAGGCCTGGTGGACCCGAGGACATTGCAAGCAGAACAGGCCTTCTGCCACGGAGCTCTGGCCAGCCCCTCCCCTCCTTTCATACAGGGCTATGGATACACAGCCAGGTGGTGGACAGATGTTTATACCACCCATCCCCACAATGCACATCTACGTGACCCTGTGGGTAAAGCACATTTGTGGCATATTCTGCTACTTATGGGAGGCAGCATGTGTGCACCCACATTTGTGCTCATGGGAGCTGAAAGATGCTACTCAGCACAAATTATTTACTGACCACTTTTACCTCTCTATTTTGTTCCTGATCAGGAGGGATGGACTTTAGCAACCTTTCAGAGCCAAAAAAATGGCACTCATAACTCCTCACCATATCCACATTCATGTCCTTTTATTTCATGACTGCTGGTTTTCTCAGGAGCCTTTGATGAGAGACTTTGTCAAAAGCCTTTTTCAAGTCCAGATATATAATCTGGACATCTCCTTATCTCTAAGAGTCTCCAAACACTTTAAAAGGAGAGTGAGGCAGTGCTCCTTCTCCTGCAGAGTCCGGGCTGATTCTTCCTGGGCAGGGTGGGCGGCCTGAGCCCTGCTAGTCTTGCTGGTCCTGGCAATGAACAAAAGCCCCAAGTGAACACACTCCTGGGACCCCGAGGAGTACAAGAAGCCATGGCACAGGTCCCACAGCCCTCCACTCGCATGCACTGCTGGTCAAATTGGGTTCTGTATTGTATGTGGTACTATCCTTGAGGTGGCCTTCAATCCTGGGCAGTGGCCTGAGCCTCGCCCACCTCCATAGCCCAGGCCGTCGATTGCGCAAATGCTCCAGCTGAGGAGGGGAGCAGCTCTGCTGTGGGCTGGCTCTTCCTCACCTGTTGGGA